ACTCATATTCTGTCGTGTTAAATTCTTTCCTTGTAGAATTCAAAGGTTTTATAATCTTTCTATCATAGTCATAGGTACGATGTAAATCGTGTTTAATCAGTTCCAAAATATTCCAAAACTAAAATGAATGGTATAAATATTAAATTACAGGGTTTTCTAAAATCTATTGGTCATTTAAATTTAATGATAACTTCGGATATTATTTACAACTAATATAGTCATTCATTATTAAATATTGAAAACAAGTGTACATAGTGGTTACCTCCGCAGAGGTGGAACGAGCTCAAGTTGTATAAACCTACGACAGTTTATGGTTTTTCTGCAATTATCATGCTTTAAATTGTTTGCAATTATATTAAGCCAAGTGGCTTAATATCTCCCTAGAGTAGTCTGTTAATTTATCTAGTAGTATTATCTATAACATTTTAGACTCCAATATGTACCCGTGCAGGTAATAGTAATCACTTAAAAATAAAAATATAGGTTTTTGATACTTACTATGTTAAAAATGGCAGAAAAACTGACACCATACCGAAGGGGACAACATCCAAAACAATTCTTTAACATAATATTATCTAATTAAGAAACTAAAACGATTGTTAGAAAATTGTTTTTTTTTGTAAAAACAATTTAAAGTTGAATGTAAAAATTAATCGGGAAAATATATCATACTATATTTTTAATTTATTAGCTAAACAATCGTTCAAATTAGTATTGTATAGAATTCAGTTATTACGATACAATAATGTGCATTCATTAGCTGCACGCGTNATTGGTAATTTGAACGGAACACGCAGCTACTCGTAAATCGAGTAAAACTTAAAACTAAGATAAAAATTATCTGCGTATTGTGTTCACGCCTGCGATGTTATAGTAAATGCTGTTTAATGTAAAATAACTGATGATAAACAGTTAACTTTATTCGTGTTCTGTATGGGCAGACATTACGAGGGGGGTCTTGGTTTATTTATCGATGGCTCACAATATACTTGACACTTGCAGTGGTTTAACATTTTAATTGTAATTTAATTTAATTTGAATTCAATCTATTTATATTTTATTATTATTAATTTATGTACTTGAATTTTTAATTTTACACCTATACTGTTCACAGTGTAAATTGTGTCATCGGTGTGAAACTACATACATTTTCATTTTTAATTGAAAACAATAATAAAATAATTATGAATTTATTTTTTAGGGTACAGCTATCGAGTATCGGGTTTGAAGATACACATTAAATATTTGAAGACCCATTTTTTATGGAAATGATTTTAGTTTCAAATTTCAAATATTTAAATTAATAAATGATAATTATTTATTCAATGTTTATAATTATTTATAATTAATAATAAAATATTTAAAATACATAATAGTAATATATGAAACAGTTTTAAAATATTTTCTATATTATCTATACGATATCGATATCGTACAACTCACGATACTTTACAATATCGGGAAAATCGGAGTCATATCCAAAATTATATCGTTGTCCACCACTAGTATTTACTAAATGGATCCTACAAATAATTTAAAAAACACACATATGTCATATATATATATACAGAGTATTCAATGAGGATTCGACAAATGCAATAACTTTTGTTATATTCAATAATTTTGGTATACATTTTTTTTAAATAATTATTATACCTCAGCACTACAGTTTATATATGAACAGGGGAGGTGGACTTAAATAAAAATAATTAAATGATAAAACAATTTTTTTAAAAAAATTCAGACTAGCTATTTTGTAAAATAGATTTTTAGAAAAATGTTGATGGTTGAAACTTTTGTTAAAATATGGTTTTTTATTTTCTATAATTTTTTGAAGTTTTTGTAAATGTGAATATAACTTTTTGTGCTTATTCAGTTAACAGTTTTTAATAGTCAGGATTTTCTTTCCATGAGTTAATATCATGCAATAATATTATCATATGTTAGTTATGACGTAGTTTCAATCAATCAATAATGGTAACTTATGTTGATAAACAATATTGTTATGATTAATAAATAATAAAATTTTCAAAAAATTGTAAAAATTAAAAGACCAACAATTTTCCTATATAAACTGAAATCATGTCTTTCTCCAGCTTACTTTTTGCTTATCAAATCTTATCTTATAGAATGGTCCATTAAAATCCACTATGGAACTTCTATGCATACGATGCATATTTTTATTAATTTGTATCGCTTTATATTTATTTTATTTAATAGACATAGAACAGTTTAAGTTGTCCAAGTGATTGATTTATTCGCTGGCAGTAAAAAACGAAATTTTGATTTTGACTTGTAATTAATTTTTTATTTATAACTATACTAATACTTATAATAATCACAGACAATGTAACCATAACAAATGGTTCAATTTATATACCCCCCCAAAAAAAAAAATGTTACACAGGTACACCACTGATACAGTGACGTATTTATGAGGGTAGGGGACAAAGGGCTCGTGTCATTGACCGCATCTATGCATATATTTTAATAACCATTATCGCATATTTATAAACCTATGTACATAATCGTCATGATAAACATGATACATTTTTTGGAACAAAAGTTGGTTAGTACAAATGTCTTGTAGAAAAAAAAAATGTAACATTTCGCTGTCGCTATTGCGACAATAATGTAATATTATTTGAGATTAGAGAATACTGTAACGGGCAATCCTCAACGTTGACGTACGCCAATATTTTTTATTTTTAAGCGTATTACAACAGTAACGGGTATAATGCAATATAAAAACAACATGACAAACAACAACATTTATCTGTTTATTCAGTTTATTTTTTTGATTAAACATTTGGTTTTTTTTTTGTGTTCCCTCCCATTGGTCATTTCTAAATACGCTCCTGTCCTAATTGATTCGACAAGGTGATTGGCCGTTGCAGAAACGACGATTTTTCTTTTATCGATTTGTCAAGCAACCTCTTATCGGATTAATAATATTTTGAAGGCCCGATTTTGTTTAGATTAAATATTAAATACAGTTCCATAACTTTATTCAACTTCAGATAACGCTTCATGTTTTTTCAGTTTTTCCAGTGGCTATTTTTACATGCCTTACGACACACTTTATGTTACGAAATCCCAAATAAATCCCAAATATACATTATGAAAAATTAAAATTTGCATCTGTCTTCGGTTTTTTTTTTTTTTTATTATAGACGAGTCACAAGCAACGTTCCATAGATGTAAGGAAAATATTTTTTTTCATCTTTTTTTTTTGTCATACTAATTTTGTTACACGTTAATAGCTTAATTAAAATTGTATACGTATACATTTACTTTAATAATAGGCATAAGACACGAGGGCATGATAAAACAATTTAAGTTTATAATCGTGATAACGACCGAATTATCATTTACATTATAATTGTATACCTGCAAAAAACCACAACCACGGTTAATTTACTTAAACAAGTTTATGCAATAGTGCATGACTTTATGAGCACAATAAAGTTATTTATCTAATAGTTTATCGATATGATATCACAGGTTATCGAACTGTTTTTATAGATAATTTATGAAACACAGCATAAGAGTATCAACAGTTAAATAAGGAGAGTATTAAAACACGTGTATATCTATTGATAAAGAATATGATTATATGGTAGGTATATTATGGCATAAGAAAAAAACCCGGACCATAACACTTATTATAAAAAAAAAAACCCCGGCGAACAAAAATAAAGGTCCGACAAAAGAATATTCCTCTTTGTAAATTAATACTTGTTAAAAATACAAAACGGACATACTTCGCACGATGGATGGGACACTGTTGTAGCCGAGAATTTGGGAATGTGAGTTATAGAGGGGAATTTAATGCATTTGTGTATGCAGCGATTAATCATTGCTAACGAAAAACGATTCTAAGCGAAATTTGGGTACATATGTTTTAAAAAGTCATAATACTTACGATTTTCGTCAAAATTGATATTGAAATTCATATGAAACAAAACACCACATTAAAATCAACTTTTTCTTGTCAACTATTAAATACAGCTTATAATGGCTTTTTTTCAGACCTTCTTTTCAAAATGTATTTTATTTTTTTATTTTTATAAGTAGGCACTATACAGTTTATATAAGTTAAGCCAAGGTATTTTACTGTGGGGAAGAAAGGAATAGGGATGCCATAGAGATATACATTTGGACATTTGAAACCTGTTTAAGTGTAAAATTAGTATGTATGGATTGACAAAACTAAAATGTTAGTGCCGAGGCCCCTAAACTTACAACAGCCAGACTGTCCTGAAATGTGACTGAATTATATCGACGCTCGTCATTAATCGTGCGTTTTTCTTCCGCGTCCACGTGTGTATAAAACCTCATCGACGCTCGATCAGCTTTCAATACATAAAATAATAAATTGTATTCGAAACGGAGAGAACTGCTTGTCACGTCGATAAACAATCGTGTTCGCGTAATAATAATTCGTGGTCAATGGTTTTTAACACATTTTTTTTTTTTTGTAAGTATAGGTACGCACACTATATTATGAACGATCTAGTCGACGCAATATGTCAGTCCGCGGTACCTATCAATCGAATATTCATGCGTGGAGGTCGGTTCTATCTGAATATTTTTTTTTTTTTTCCTATTGCGGAAATATATTATGTTTCGGCTCCGCGGGAAAATTCCGGGTTCCGCGACGACCTCGAAGCCCGCCTATCTATCATTATCTCTGCGGCGCGTTACTATATACGAGCACAGTATCGTATTTTATAACGTATATATTTCGATGATCAGTCAGTCCTGTCAATCGCCCAACCCACAACGCCATACACCGTCCCGATTTACGTGAAAAAAAAAAAAGCAAAAAAAGAGAAACAGTCGGCAAAGCATTTTCGTCGTTTCAAAAAAACGTGGATACTCGTCCGTTTAACCCGCCGCGGCAGGCCAATTGTTCAGCGGAATTCGGGTACAATATATTTTTATTGAAACCGAAACCGATTATTAAAAAAACAAAAAAAAATGACGCGAACATCGTCGCGTGATATTACGTTATATAATAATGTTATGACTACGCGAGTTTTCACTAAAAGTCGTGTACACGAGTTAATAAGTTAACACTTGTTGATCCTGGATTACTATTATTATTGTAATTTATTAAAACGAGGAATTTTCAATCGCCAATTGATTACTGTGCGTGCAGTGCGTGATGCATACGATATTTGTGTAGTGTGTCTGTGTGTGTCGTTGTTATGTAATTATTATCATTGTTATCGTTTTGTTTTTTTTATAACAACTGTATAATATGTTAACGGTCACGATGAAACCGTTCGTTCTCTGCTATCGCGACATGCCGTATACCGTTAGTATTACAGTTGATAACAACAACGGTCATCATTATCGTCATTTATCCGCACCAGTCCGAGTCAATACGGAAAACAATAATTGCAGTATAATCCGTACATCCAACGGGTCTACGCTTCTAGAAAAATCATAGGTAAAATAATACGTTGAACGATCTTCGTTAAAAATACAAAAAAAAAAAAAAAAATGTTTAAAAAAAAATCTCTTTATATAATTGTGTGAGTTTTACATCCGTTAATTGCAAGTACGCCTACCTATATATGTACACGCATTTTATCATAATATACAATAAACAACTAATTACATACACCTACGAAAAACTGTGGTTTCGACTGAAATACAAACTGTACATAATCGTGTATATTTTAGTATACAGAGTGATCAATCCAGCGTAGACATTATCTCGGAAAGTATTGACTTTTTCGGGTTTTTTTTTTTTTTTTTGAAAACTTAAATAAAAAAATAGTTCAAAAATGTTCAATTATTATATTTTTTGTCACCCTTAAATTTTTTTTGGGGGGAGGAGGTGAAACCACTACCTGATTTTGATTTTCAAACAGGAACCTGTATTAAAAAATCTATAAATAGACAGAACATTAGTTAAAATAAATTTTGGTGTTAAAATTTTTGATTTCCATCAATCCGTCGACGAACTATTCCATTTTTAAATTTTAGTCGGGGTAGAGTGGTGGAGTAGTTATTTGTGTGATGCGCAGCGTTTTAATAATGCACCACTACTCTCCTCCAATTCAAACTTAAAAGCGGAATAATCCCGTCAACGGATTTACGGAAATCAAAAATTTCTACTCTGAAATTTGTTTTAACTAATGCTCCGTCTATTTAAGGCATTTTCAATATAGATTTCCGTTTGGAAATCGAAAGCGGGTAGTTGTTTCACCCTTACACGAATGAGGGTGACAAAAAATAATATAAATGTAAAATTGTAGAACTGCTTATTTCTTGAATGTTCTATAAAACAAATTACAAAAAAAAATATTACTTTCGGAGATAACGAGTGTCTTACGCTAGATTGATCACTCTGTATTTTCCGTTGCCTACTGAGGCCGTAGTAATTTATAACACAGTCAAATTTTTTTTTCTTTTTACCAAAGGTACCAAAGGTCTTCGATAACCTCATCCAGAGTTGTTTTTACATCTCAGTAGTATAATTATACAATTCATTAGTTCGTTTGGTTTAGATTATATGTATAGGCGTGTTATGGTTTCAGTATAACGAAACAAAAATGTACGTTTTTCATGATATTCTTAACAATAAGAAGGCCCCTCTTAAGAATTGAGAAAAATCTTTCAGTAGTTGTAGTGTACTTTTGGGTATAATATATGTGTACAAAAAAAAGGTTAAGGAGAAGATCAATCCACCATCGAAAATACGCCCCTGTCCAACTGATACAAATAATTAAAATCAAAAAATTAAATGTTTAAATCACTTGGTCACTTTTTGCTTGAAGACGTTAACACGATTCCTTATGATTAAAAATATGGATTTTGGCTCATGCTCGCTGGAATATTGTTGTCCGTATCGGTTCATTCGCGACCGTAGCAGTTCATATTTATTTAGTTCATATAGTTATAATCATAGATTTTCGGTGAAACATAACGTTTGAATTAAAATGTCGGAAACAAATAGTTCTTCCGTATATGCACGGACAAAAGTCGAACAAACCTCAGAAACGCCTAGGAAAAACGAGAAACGTCCACAATACTATTGGATAAAACGTGATATTTCGGCTATGGAAGTCCCGGGGAAGTCCTAGGACCGTTCTCACCAACGCAAACGTTGATTTTTAAATGGAGTTTATAAGATAATCGACCAATCGTGGTCGGTTATCAGCTATAAACTCAATTTAAGAATCAGATAAACGCCTTTTTTTACGTTGATGAGAACGGCCCTTAATAGTGATCGTTATTAATTATTTTAGAACAATAATATTTATTTCGTCATTATTCGTATCTAGTATTTGAAAAAAAAAAAAAAAAAACATAATATCTACCTACTTTGAAAAATTTACATTTATAGACGGTACGGTTTTGCCCGAGTATTTCTGAGGTTTGACCGATTTCAACTTTTGGCCGTAACATATTTACAGTTAAGACTACAATAACAGTAAGAAAATATTTGCGATAATATTTGATCATACAAGTATTTTGTAATATTTGCTTGAATCTGTATTGTAGTTTATGTGTGATTTTAATTTGATTTTTTTTTTTTTAAATGACATCGCACACACCTACAGTACTCAACAAGACACTATTTTTTTTCACTTGGAGTTCACGACGAGACCACGCAAATGTTTCGAATATTTTCGTATTGTTCATTTTAGATTCTGAGCGGAACGAGGAATGTATTGATTTTACAATGATATTTATTTTTATATTTTTCTGTGAACAACTTTTCGGCCAGAAATTTTTCCCCCATTTTTAGTTCTTTTTCTGACAGAAAATTACACTGGGTTGGTACTTTAGAGAGGTCAATTGTTAATTTCCCATCATAAATGAGAAAAACTAAAGAAAAACAGGAAAATTGACTAAACGTACTAGTTTCTAGTCGTAAATATTATAGCCTTTCAAAACATGAATAACCGAACTCCGCTCAGAATCATTTTTCATTAACAATGATTAGTCGTTGAATACATATATACATCAAATTTCTAATCTAGCTTCCCAACTTCCCACCTAAAACAATGGCACACCCATCGCGCGAAGTATGTCCGTTTGTTTTGTATACCAATAAGTACCTATACCATAATAAAATCGAGTAAACAATTTTTAATCGAAATAAATGTAAAGTACCTAACATACGATCTGGTTGTCAACTATATTTAACGTGCAGGTACCATCAGTGGCGTAACGAGAATCACTCAATGGAGGGGTAAAAGAAAACAAACAATTACAAAATTACACGTTTATTTCCTTTATTAAATTTAAAAATATAACATACATACTTAAAGGTAGTCAATAAAGAATGAAAATAAACCGTAGACACCGTGATAAAGTAACATGCGCGTGAAACGACTGTAACAAATACATAAACAAAAGCCACTGCCAATAGAGGGAGCACGGCATGGCGGAGCGGGGCGCCCTCCCGGACTTTTTTTTTTTTGTAAATATTTACCACAGCGAATTATAAATAGAATTTTGTCATAATCGTTCGAGAAAATAGGAACGATTAAAAAAAAAAAAAATGTTGTGTACTTCTGTATCCAAAAGTATGACAACGGGAACTGTTTGTTTACATATTTTATACTTTCGGAACGAACGGGAACTATGTTAAAAAAACATCGCGCATACCGGACCGGCCGGACCATGTTGTGTGTCGGTCATTTCAATGCAATTTCCGAACGTTTTAAAACGCACCGCGCCCGCCTGTCCGTAGTGCGATTTCAATGTCACTTTATTGTTCCGTTCTTTTGTCGCGTGTTATAACCGGGCCGCGCGGATTAGGACGTAATGGGCGGCTTCCTGTCTGCGTAACGGTATCCCGAATCCCGGCGAGCCAACAAGACGCGTGACCGCGGCGTAACGGCGCGCGTCCGGACCGTCGTCACAGCCACACGGAGGTAATTTCCGCACAGACCGCGAACGTGCCAAACACGAACAATGCGCGGCCCCCGCGTGCCCCGCGTCGCTCGGCTCGCCGTCGCAGGGAACTGTTTCGCCAACAAGTGCGCGCCCAACGCGGTGCCAACGGCGGCGCGTTCGGGCGACACGCGCCCAAATTGTCGCGGTCGAAACGGCCGGTATTTCGGGCGAGATTTCGGTCTTTCGAAACGGGATCCTTGAAGACTCTCTCGGGCCGCGGCGGGCACCTCTGCACGCGGCGTTCCGTGTTTCGCGTTTATTGACGACACTGTCCGACCCGGTGCGGACGCGGAACGTCCGTCGCGCGCTTTTATTTTCGTTTTGTCGCCGCCCGACGCCGCGCAGTGATTAATTGCCGACGGCGGCGGCGGCGGCGGCGTTTCGAGTGTAGAACACCAACCGACGGTAATAATTTATTACGGTAGCTTACACTTTCAACGCGTGTTCGTCCGAGGAGATTGATAATTACTATCCGCGATACTAATTATATTAAAATATTAACAATAATCGGACTCGCGATCGCGTGCCGTCTGTACTTATGCACGTTTTATGTGCACGTTAATATTGCATTTTTCAATCGTTAATCCGAAATCGTTCGCAATTCAAATCCGTACAATAGCGTTACAATATAATCATCATTATTGTTATCACCGTAATCTTTTATACGGCCGCCGTGAATAACAATAATTATTCCGCGGCCGTTTCACAATACATTGACTACGCGTCCTGTTGTACGGTACGTTGTTGTTGTTTTCCTCAGCTGCAGACACGTTTTCTTATACCGACGGCAATAATTTCGATAATTCGTTTTCGTGTTATTTCGCACAGACTCTTAATTTATATTTATTTTTTTTTTTTCTGTGTGTGACCTCGTGAACATAGTTTTTCGTTGAGATTTTTTTTTTTTTTTTTATACTCGCCATTCGTCGCTTATACGTATGCATAATATTTATAGGATGACGCGACTGCAATGTTACAACGTACTATGTCTGTGATCGTACGTTTGGATTTCACAGCGGAGTCCGAACCGTTATAGAACACCGCGAAAATAATATTTTATGATATTGTATCGAACAAATTATGGACAACCCGAGATTTGTGCACGAAAACGGCGAACGTGATCAGCCGCAGCGAAACAATCGACAATTAAACCGCGACACGAGAAACAATGACGTCACACGTGAGTGTTCATCTGCCGCTACTCGCTGTATAATATTATGATATCGTCACGATGATTATCGTTAGAATAGAACGACGCGTTATTAATATCGAGACGGAACAATTCATAAATTCGGTGATTAATTACCCGGACGTTTCACCGTGCGGTATACCGAGCGATCAAGAATCACCGGACAAGACGCCCGTTGTACCGAAAAGCTTCATGAATTTTCGAAATTTGATTTTTCGGGACGTTTAAGAAACAAGGAAATTACCGTGATTTTTTTTCCCGTCCAATTTCAGTGGGAGGGGGTAGGGAAACCGTTACTGTTCGTTGTTGGTTTTCAAATAGCGACCCGCAGACATTGAAAATACCGTATAAAGACGGGGTGTTTGTTACGTTTCGATAATGGAACTTTTGATTTCCGTCAACCCGATGACGAGGTATTTCACTTTTGAGTTCGGTAGTAGATGGAGCGTCATTTTGTGTGGTTTGTGCGACGTTTGAATAGTGCACTCAATTATTACTCTCCCCATACTCGATTTTAAAAGTGGAATATACCGTCAACGGATTAACGGAAATTAAGCATTTCAACACTGACGCGTGTTTAAACGTATACTCCGTCTAGTTATAGAATTTTTAATATGCCGTTTTAAGATCAAAAGCAGGTAGATATGCAGTAGTCGTTTTATCACCAAAAATCACGGTGACGAAAAGCAATAAAAACGTGACGTTCTAAAGCTGCTTGTTTCTTAAATTTTCTGAAAAAAGTAAATACTTTCCGAGATAATGAGCGTTTGTCGAGGATCAATCACTCTGTAGTGCAATAGACTATAATATTACCGGGCGTCTTTTTAAAAAATTGTTTCTATTGCACGGACCAAATTTAAAACAAAAACATATTTTACCGCCGATAGTGAGGTGAGGAAACGATGAGGAAATACGGACACGTGACATTGGGGAATATATTATTATCGTATAAAGTGGGATGACAAACAAATATATTATGTATAATAATATAATACGACAGATATACGATAATAGTATTGTCATTGTAATTATCTATGGCCCGATCTGCACTATATAATATCAAAGTTTGGTTTCTCCCCCCGTTAATTTCGAAAAGTCAATTTTCTTTTTTCTTTACCCGATCCCATTTCAACGCAGAATCGATATTGATAATTGTTAATTACTAATATACGCGTGATCAATACTAAGTAGGGACGAATGTAGGAAATTATTTCGCAGAGGGTTACAAAAAAGATATGTCACAATTGACCTTCGTATTGGTATAAATCAATCTATTATTCAAAATTTAAATAACAAATTAATGATCAGTTTATATTTCGGAGAGGGTTTGAACCCTCAAACTCTCCCTACCCTATACAAATTATAGTCACTGGCGCATATAACAGTTATTAGTTCTTTGAGACCGTCAAAATTCATAGTACCATACTCTATTTCTTTATGTGTCTAAACGTATACGTTACATTGGAATACGTATATTAAATAAAAATCGCAATTATATGGAGTTATTAATACAGACATTTTTCGAATTTCAGTGACGGTCAACGACGCGGAATCGACGAAATTCGGTCCTAACCGGACGTCCACGGCATTCGAACGGTGCGTTAAAGGCGCCCACGTGACAGGCTTACCTAAATGGGCTAAAAGAAAACTGTTCATACTACAATGGATTCCCTCGTACTCGGGACAAGACTATATAGGCGATCTCATGGCCGGTCTGACGATCGGCTTAACCGTGATACCTCAATCTATGGCTTTGGCCAGCATAGCCGGTGTGCCAGCGCAGGTACGCTGCAACATAATATAATTAATACGTATATCATGAGTAAACTAAGAGTAATTTTGTAAACTTGTGTAAGGAAGTACGGGGAAAGAACACGTTATGAAATGATGATTAAATGCAATTGAGAGTGATACGATTAGGACTGCTGAACTGGCGAGATCGGCTCCAGAGTGTAGAGACTTGATTGAAGAGGGCCAAGTGTATACAATATTCGATAGTATATAGAATAGTTTTTGTGTGATTTTTAACAGTATAGAATTTTTTAGAAAAATGCGAGCCTTGGGGAGAAGGAGCACGACTCTAGGGGCCCCTGTATGCTGGATCGACGTTAGAGACCATCGTGATGGCTGGTGGAATTTATAGGATCAATACGACCGAGCCTAATAAATAGTTGTAAAAAGAGGCGCATGAAAAGATATTATTATATATACATTCTATTGAATTCTTTAAATTTAAGTATATCGTATTTCCAATTAAGTTTCGTTATTTCTTTTTTTTTTGGAAATCAAGTACGGTCTATACAGCTCCTTTGTTGGCACGTTCATATACTTACTTTTTGGCACTAGTAAAGTGGTGCCGATGGGGCCGACCGCCATCGTGGCTCTTTTGGTGAACAACTCAATCGGAAACCGAGGACCGGTGTACGCGACTCTCCTGTGTTTCCTGACCGGCGTTATTCAGACACTAATGAGCTTTGCCGGCCTGGGAATCATCGTAAACTTCATATCGGTGCCCGTGTGCTCGGGATTCACATCAGCCGCGGCAATTCTGGTCATCGTGTCACAGGTAAAAGACCTATTCGGCGTCAAAGGAGGCGGCGGAAATTTGCTTATGATGAGCAGAGCCGTTTTGGATAACATCGGCCAAATCGGCGTCGGAGACACAATCATGGGATTCACGTGCATAGCGGTCGTGATGGGTTTGAAAGTAGGCCACTGAAATTGATATAGTTAAATACGATTTTGTCCACCTGTTTTTCAACAGAAAAATAATATAACACATAAGTTATTGGACACCGCCGCATTTAATTTCGCTCTAACACTTTTCTTCGCTGTGGACTTTAGATCCATTGGAAATTTCATTTGATAATTATATTCAAAATCAATAAAACTTTTTCTCGTGCGATAACTGTGCATATATATTATACTCTAAGCTTATATTTTATATAGGTTCTTTTAATCTTTATTATGAGGATTAATGCATTCGTTACCGTAAATTAAATAATATTTTAATTACTGAAGCAAATATTTATTTATATTATTATGACGTATTCAAAGCACGCGAGCGACATCTTTATACGTCTAAGGCAATTATGTACTATATAACACTGTTTCTAAAGATTTAGATTTTATTGAGTAAACGTGAATATCATAATAATTTGTACTATTCTATCTATTTGTTTACCTAGTTATTATACGAATGTCGTCAATGAAATTCTGTGGTAAAAAAAAAAAAAAAAAAATATTAATCATAAATACGAAAACATTATCGATAAACTATTTTTTTTTCTACAACGATAGTTGAAAAATACAGATATTGAAAGATTAGGTTAAGTTAAATTTTCAACTCTACATTATTACGTACAAACCAAAACTTAAGAAATTGTATCTCTTTACCTTTGTCAATTTAAAAGTTGCCCCCCCCCCTTAGAACTGAGATATATTCATCACTGCTCAATGACCATACAATCTTAATAGACAACCGTCTTATTCTAATCTCCTGGTAAATATATAAAATGTTCGATGTTTTCCTAGTATATTGATACGAAAAGCACAAGGTATTTTAAAAAGTGAACTTCATAAACTCTATTTTTCAATAATATTTATAAAGTTTTTTTTTTTAATATTATTATTATTTTAGATGTTTGGCAATACACGCGTTGGCCCTAAAGAATATGAATTACAGACTCAATGGCACAAGAATATTAACAAAATCATTTGGGCTATCGGCGCGTTCAGAAACTCATTCGTAGTGATTTCTTGTAGTATTATCTGCTATTGGTGTGTAAATCAATCAAATCACGATATCGCGTCTGACAGGCCACCGCCGATCCCGTTTAAAGTCATCGGTATGCATAAAATAATTAAAGATAATAATCAGTGTCGTATAAAGATACATTTAATAATATCTAGATAAAGATGCGAGATAATCGTTAGAATATTTTTTTAAATAAAAACAGCGGATATATATGAATAGATATCTATCTAAATGCAGATAAAAATTAGAAACGCTAGTTATAAAACTTCTCATTCACACTCAGTAGTCCTGGATTAAGACATATGGCGCCCATAGGCTGTGAACAAATAAGTGCCTTTTTTCATATCATAAGATAGGTACTATTTATTAGTTTTCAGTGCCGACTATACACTCACGAAATTTTGCAAAGTTTTGCTCTCATAAATGTGTAAATACGAAATAAATAGTTAATTATCCTTTTTTGCTCATTAACTGCAGTTTATAATGTTTTAGCCATTTTCCTTGTTTACATTTAAATTTTTTAGATACGTATATATTAAATTTATAAATGTATACAGTGAGTGTAAAAAGTATTCGTACACCCTACTTTTTTAAATAAATATACATTTTTCTTCATGATATTTTATTTTTATCGATAAATTAATACATACATATTATTTATTGACGATTTTTAATTATATTAAAAAAAAAAAAAAAACCATGACAAATGTTATATTAATAATAATATTCAATAACAAACAAAACAATACATATAAAATAGGAACAATAAATATTCGTACACTTCTATTTTAGTTACAGAATCACCTGTTTACTCNTAATAATGTTATTAGAAAACGATAAGATATACAAAATGTCACATTAAAAGTTTGTTCCCGACCACGTTACAAGATTATACCAATTCAGTTAGCTTCGAAATATTATTGGAATATCATCTATTACAAAATGAGTCGAAAAAAATGCGAGACAAATAAAACTGAACGTGAACTAATTCTGCGGTTGCATAATCAATGCCAATCATTACGTCAAATATCAAAAGTTGTCAACAGAGCTCATAACACTGTGAAAGACGTGATAGATTGATACAGTGAGCGGAAAAGTCACGAAAATAAGCAACGATCTGGTCGTCCAAAAAAACTTTCTGACCATGATAAATGTATAGTTTAACGAAAAGTAAAATTGAATCCAAAAATAAGCGCTCCTAAAATAGCACAAGATCTTGCGAATTTTTCAGGAGTACGTGTTTGTGTAACTACAATTAGAAATTGTTTAAAAAATAGTGATTACCATGGACGAGTAGNCTGCGGTTGCATAATCAATGCCAATCATTACGTCAAATATTAAAGATTGTCAACAGAGCTCATAGTACTGTGAAAGACGTGATAGATCGATACAGTGAGCGGGAAAGTCACGAAAATAAGCAACGATCTGATCGTCCAAAAAAACTTTCTGACCATGATAAACATATAGTTTAACGAAAAGTCAAATTGAATCAAAAAATAAGCGCTCCTAAAATAACACAAGATCTTGCGAATTTTTTTGGAGTACGTGTTTGTATAAGAACAATTAGAAATTGCTTAACAAATAGTGATTACTATGGACGAGTAGCTCGTCGAAAATATTTGTAAATAAAAAAATAGACAAAAGAGATTTGCTTTTGCAAGAGATAACTTTCATCAATCTGATAACTTTTGTAACAAAGTTATATTTACAGACGAAAGTAAATTTAATATTTTTAGCTCTGATGGAAGACGTTTTGTTTGGAGAAAAGCGAATACAGAAATGGAACCAAAGAATTTACAGCCTACAGTGAAATACGGAGGAGGTTCTGTAATGATTTGGGGATGTATGAGTGCTCAGGGTGTTGGAAATTTGCACTTTATTGATGGAATTATGAACCAATATATTTATTTAAATATTTTGAAGACAAATATTGCAGCTAGTGCCGAAAAATGGGCATCAAAGATGATTTCATATTTATACAGGACAATGATCCCAAGCATACTGCAAAACAAGTTAAGGCTTGATTGTCGAACAATGTAACTGAATATCTTGTGACGCCACCACAGTCTCCAGACATTAATCCTAATGAGAATTTGTGGGACAGAAAAATTCGAGATCACAATATTTCAATTAAGGAAACTCTAAAAAAAGCTCTAGAAGAAGAATGGAATAGCAGAAACAACACGTCATCTGGTTGATTCAATGTCTAAGAGGTTGGAGGCTATAATAAGGTCCAAAGGCTACCCTAAAAAGTACTAAATAGGGCTATACAATAATTTAAAGGCATGTTTTTTGATACAACTCTTTATTATTATNATTATTATTTTTTTTTTTTTTTACTATTATATATTTATTGTTTTGTTTGTTATTGAATATTATTATTAATATAACTGTTGTCATGGTTTTTTTTTTAAAATTTAATTAAAAATCGTAAAAGAATAATATGCATGTATTATTCATCGAGAAAAATAAAATATCATGAAGAAAAATGAATATTTATTTAAAAATGTAGGGTGTACGAATACTTTTTACACTTACTGTATACATAAAAACATATTTTAGCAACAATATCTTTTTTTTAGTTTTAAGTAGATACTGATACTGACAGTTTATTCATTTTAAATAATTTTGCCTAGCTTTTTGTTGAGCAAATTTGTTTATTGTTTCTCTAAAACATTACTTTAAAATCAGTTAAGATTCAATAGTAAAAAGTGAAAGGGCCTTTAATCTATCTTTTTTCATAGATGATCTCATAAAACATTTTACTTTTTTCAGGACTGAAAATTCCCTGTAGTTTAAACAGAGGGTAAACCTGTTTTACCTAAACACCATATTATGTCAACAATTTGAACATAACTTAAGCATAATATTTGATTTTATATTTCCATGAAAAAAAAATTTTCACCGTCAGCCCTCCTTCTCCCCCCTTGATTTAGGCTCTAGCCTACACGGCTCACGTCTTAATCCGGGCTTGACACCCAGTCTTCACATTTTTCTCAATCTGTTGCTCTTTCTTTCCAATTTAACACAACGCCAAGTGATTCCACATCCTTTTTTATGAAACCTTTCCATCTTGTTTTCGATTTTCTCAGCAGTCTTTTTCCGCGCTGATTTTGTTCCACAACTAGCTGTTCTTGTTTGTTCGCTTGGACTCTTTTAAAAATGTCCCGATCATTGAAGTCTTCGCTTTCTCATTACATTACATTATTCCGTTATATTTGTACTCTAAAATAAAAGTCTCTATCTCTAAATTTTGCATCCATTTCAATTTTCAACAGGTATTATTCTTTATTGGCTCGAAGAATTTTCTTTTTAATAAGTACCAAAAACTTTATCTCGTCTAATTTTCTTAGTGGCCACGTTTCCGCTCCGTGCAGGATATTGTTTTTTTATTACGCAGTACTATATTAACACGCAGAGCTGTATGTGAGAAACGTTACAAACAATAGGTTTATATCATTCTTTAAACGATTACGGGGAAAACAATAAAAACCGTATAATTAAACCAGCCAGTGAATGAATAAAATTTAACAATACTTTAATGCGATTATCGTATTCGAAAGTAAATAGACAATAAATTATGAACATGACACGTTATCGCCATAATAACTAGAACACAATATTGTTATCTCGATTGTTAAGGTGCGTTTATTGAGTTTTATTTGTACAAATACCGAACTTGATAATAATCAATACTATATACCTATTAATATTTGCCACGAGACGAAAAACACGCACGCAAAACGTGAAGATTTTATAAAATACACAAAATATTCGCACACTTACTAAGTGATATGGCAAACCCAACATTTTTGAGAAAAAAATATTTTGGTGAACCATTAACCTCACCGTAACAGTTGACCGGAAAGATCATAAACGCAAATAAAATAAAATTTGAAGTTTATCCCCTTATTGAATCTATATACCTATGTATCTCATCTTGTAAAATTGTTCTATTCTATATAATAGACTAATATATTATGGATTACAATTAAATTAGATTAAGATCTCATGGACCCTCACACGAGTATGTTCAATGGGGCCCATTATCTTTTTAAAAGAATGAAAATAAATAAAAATAAGAAAAATATGTTAAATGTTCACGTCCTACTGTTTCAGTTAAAAATAATAATCTCAGCATGGATTGTTTTAGTTTGATATTTTATTTTTATAAAACAAATATTAATTTGATTAGTCATATAAATATAATAACAATAATAATAATAACAATATATAATTTATATATTAAAAGTTGAATTTTTCAAGGCAAAATACCAAACGGATTGCCGCAATTTGATTGGCCAAAGTTCAATGACAAAGATGATAATTTTTTGGATATGATTGTCTTTATGGGAACCGGCATCATTGTGACACCACTTATATCGATACTCGAAAATATCTCTCTCTGCAGAACGTTTGGTAAGTTTATCTTTATTTTAATACCATAAAATATGTCGGTAAAAAGCAAATGGAAATAATATAATATGTACCGGTGTAAGAGAGAAAATCCTTTGATGACGGGTTTATCAAAAATATTTTAATTTAAAGACTGATATTTCTGATGGGTGATTAGGAGGGAAATTGAAAAGGTGGATATATTTTAATTTAAGTATCTGTACGCAGCCATAACGAAAAACAGTTCTGAGCAGATTATTATTATTCGTATTTTTTCTCTTGTTATGAAAGTAATTCAAATTTCAACCAAAAATTACTAGTTTTTCTCATTTATTAAGAAAACTAAACGGAAAATCTCCGAAAAATTGTCCAAAAATGTTTCTATACAATTTTTGATTGGTGTAAAATTTCTGGTAGATTAATTGTTTATGGACACATAACAAACACTCCATCGTAAAACTAATATATTCCTTACTTCGCTTACTACTTCCCTACTACTACTTAAATTTTAACAATTACACCTGTACATCCATTTCAAAAAATTATCGAGCAAAACAATGGATTTTAAAAATTAGTTCACACTATTTAGATATTTGTATTAACGACCACAACAATATTGACCGTAAGTAATTTACAATATTATAATATATAATATACCTTTATATTATTCTTGTAAAAATGGTATAAATTAAGAACTAATGAACGCGTAACAAAACTGCGCTGACAATCGTATATATTAGAGTACCTGCAGTTACAATTATTGTTGTTAACGTTATGTTTTAATAAAGACAGCAGTATAGGTCACTTAATTCCTATACATCATTGTGTTATTTAAAAAAAAACGAAATTATTAACGTGAAACATTATTAAATTTCGGCAAAACGAATTATAAGTTTGAGTGAATATTTTAAACAAACCATTCGAGGACTTTTAAACAACCAGCCCCCTTCTCCCCATTTTCCAGGCTAGTAATTTTGGAGAACTGAATTTTTTTAAGAGTGTTAAGGTTACCAAAATGAATCAGTATTCAAAATTGTGTATGTCTTTGTGGAGTATAGTTTCAAAATATTTTCAACCGAACTTCGCTCAGAATCGTTTTTCGTTTAATTTATCGTTGCATACAGATATAAACTAAATTACTTTGTATATCCTACCTTTCCAACTCAACCATTGACAGTATCGGCTCTTTTTATCTATTTTTGTTTTTTTCTATTATTTGTGGTTTTAATTTTTGATTTTGAACAACTTTACATTTTGTGTTGCATTTTAAATATTTTTTAACCCAGATTTGGTTTTTTAATTTCAGCGGAGGGCAAGCCGGTGGACACGAACCAAGAGCTGTTGGCGATCGGTTTAGCGAACGTTGGCACGTCGCTCTTCCATGGTTTTGCCGGGTCCGGAGCGATCGCACGCGGCGCGCTGAATTATTCAAGCGGAGTCCGAACACCCCTCGGGGGCCTGTACACGGGTAGGTGCTGACATTTTAACCGCGGTATATTATGGCGTGACCATAAAGTATACCGCTACAGTTCATATTTATAATATGTATCGTACAAACGACATTAAAATTATTATAATTGTCTCCGTGCGGAATTCTAATGCGGAATTTTAAGTTTAGGACTTACCGTTATGATCGCATTGTTGTTTTTAACGCCGTATTTCTATTACATCCCCAAGACGTCGCTGGCCGCCGTCATAATCAGCGCCTCGTTTATGATGGTCGACTACAAAATGTGCGAATACATTTACAAATCGAAAAGTACGTGGAACTACCGCGACAGTGGACTTCTCCGTTGAGAAGTTTTATACTTATTTTATGCCACGGCAAAATATAGTAAACATTTTTTCTTAGTTTCAGTTCGTCATTTGCCTATAATAATAATATAATAGTTCAAGGTGGTTAACGAAATTCAAGCAATATCACAATCACAATTTAAATTTATTTTCGTTATAGTATTTTATATTTTTTTTTTTTTTTTTATTAAATGTAGGATTAATTGTTATAAAAGGGCGGCCAAATCACAAAAATACACATCTAAATTAAAAATATTGGCATTAAAATAGAAAATTTGAAAATAACGGAAACGTAAAATTTTAGAGCCGCTTGTTTCTTAAATTGTCAAAAAGTAACAAGAATAGAACAGTTTCGTAAAAAAAGTAAACACTTTCTGAGATATAACAACGGATATATCTTCGTAGGACGTCCGGTACACAAAATTGTATTTTGCATCTTTTAAAATAAGCAAATGGTGAATTTGTATTATGTTATATCAAAACGTTTAACTATTGCCTACGACATAATATTAACGAAAAATAACGATTCATGTTCAATGCGTATGTACACAGAAAGAGACTTGATACTCATATCGATCACGTTTATCGCGTGTCTGTTGTTACCTCTGGAATACGGTGTGCTGATCGGTATCGTCTCCAACGTCGGGTTCATATTGCACAGTTCGGCGAAACCCAAAATATCCGTCCAAGTGCACAAGGTTCGAAAATACACTTGTTTTCGTTTGCGAGGTTAGGTTAAGACGTATTTATTCCCCGATTTTCTTTTTCCTTCAAGAACCGCGACGGAATCGATTACCTGTTGCTGACCCCGGACAGATATTTGATATTCCCGTCAATAGAATACGTGCGGCACACGATCACCAAGCACGGATTCGCTCTCGGAATCCCGGTCGTAATCGACGGTTCTAAGATATTCGAGGCGGACTACACGACGGCTAACGTACCTATAATATACATATTATATAAATTAAAATAACAAAAAAAAAAAGAACTAATTAAAAAGCCACGTCACAGTGGCATTTCTTGTCTCTGACAAAACGCCAGACAAATATTATTAACAAATGATAAATAATAAATGTGTTCAAGTAAAACTAAACGGAAAGACCTTTAAAATCGGTTTCGACTTTTCAATGTTAAAACACTTATCGTATACGATCTTTTGACGGTGAAAATTTGGAAACAACCTCGTCGCGCGTTCTCATGGAATTTTACAATATTTTCTAAACATCCAATTGACTAGGTACAACAAATTATATTTAAATGTTTTTTCTTTTTTTTTTTTCTTATGGACTTTAAATTTTAAAATAATTTATGTATCTAAAAACACCAATATCAATAAAATCTTCAAAATGTACACACCGACATTTTTTATCCCTATATTAAGGGTAATTTAGTTTGTTTTACGTGAACACAATTCCGATAAATTTCTTCCATCCAAAAAGACAGTAAATTCGACTGCGAGACAATATTAAGATTTTATTACTTTTTTCCATTCGTGTTTCAGGCATTCGGCATGATGTCAGAAGACTTTACCAGAAAAGGTCAATTCCTTTATTTGTACAATCTAAAGCCCAGCGTGCGAAACGTGTTTAAGGGAATAAAAAATTGTAATATTTTTTTGTGCGCTAATAAAGACGAGTTAGATGATCAACTAAAAAAACATTTGTGAGTTATTTATATTATTATTACCGACGAAAAGTATAATATTTTTTTTACGATTTATCTATGTAACGAAAACACGATATTAATTATATCGGAATATGATGGTTTATTTTTTTTTGTTTTTTCAGCGACCCATTACAAAATCAAGCTCAATATCACAACGAAATAATTTGGACGACAAATATGTGATTTTTTTTTATAAAAAGTCGAATGATCTTTAAAAAGAAAAAAAACTCTATACACCTATTAATAATAACTAATAAATATTATATGTTAGAACCACAGGGTATTGTGCAGTATACGGACGGACGATTACATGGTTTAGATATAATATGTTCCATATGTATATTTATACTTACCATATAATATTAATATTAGCAATCAAGACTTATAAGTAGAACAGATATTTATGTTATTACAGATATGCAATATAAATAATTAAAAATGGCATTAAAATATGCTCCGAAAAATAAAAAATGCACATAATTCTAAAATATCCAAAGTAAAATTTGATATACGATTTTATATACGAGGTAGGTATATTATATAGAATCGTGAAACACATATTGCTAAAAACTAGTTATTTTTTTTACCAATCAGTAAAAATATATAAATGCATATAAATATTTGCCTTACTTATAACTTATAAGCATTACCTGCTTTGTGAAGTCTATAGTATTCTATAAAATATATGGCCATGATTACTGATTATTATATTATTTTCCATTCGATAATTATTTATAATAATTTTAATATAATAGTATTAATATGAATGCAATCGAATTTTATAATATTAAGTAACTACATTCAATTTGTATAATAATATCTTCTTCTTCTTCTTCTTCTCCCCTCATCTCAACTATTTAGGGTCGTCCACCCTTATCCTAAACTCACATTTGACCCTATCTCCCATCTCACATTCACCGACTGTCCTCATATCTTTCTCAATCGCAATCCAACCACCATTTTTTCCGTCTCCCTCTCCGACATCTTTTCTCCTACCTACATTTATTTGCATAACCATTCTTACTGCTTCTGATTCTTTTTTTCTTATGGCATGCCTAAATCCATCTCTGTCTATATTCTCTCATTTTGTCTACTATCGAATCCACGCCTAAACTACCTATAATGTATTCATTCCTTACCCTATGTTCTCTTGTCACTCCACTCATCCAATTAAGCATGTTTATCTCTGTTACACTCATTCTATGTTCTATTTTTCTATCTACCGCCCCAAACACCGAACCATACAATATAGTCGGTAGCAATTTGTAAAATATATTTTTTAAATTATCGTTACATTACTGCAGGTACACCTAGGTAAATAATGTAGACAATTTATATATACATATATATATATATTTAATGTAAAAAGATTTGTTAAAAAAAAAAATGTGTATTTTTAAGAAAAAAAACCAAATATATACAATTTTTACTTTAGAAAAAAATTTAATTTAAAACTCTTTTATTAGGTACTCAAATTATTTTGTCGAATACTCTTCCCGAAAATAAAAACTATTATACTGTATTGTGTCTGAGACATATGTTATATATCTTTTTCCCGATACTTTTAATTAATTTTATAGACTTTTTCTAGAACAAATGATTTCGAGAACTAAAGTTGTTATTGTAATCGAATTGAAGTTATTAAAGTTGGATAGAATTTCAATACGAATTTAACATTTCACCATGTTTTAGCGGATGGGGTGTGATTTTTCGCTTTGTACCCTCCCACCGTTCTTTTATGATTCTCGATAATAAATTATCTAATTCAATATTTAAAATTTTAAACGTAGGCATATTGTGGAATAAAAAAAATATTATTAAATTAAAAACGGTAAACGTATTTGAACTCGAAGAATCACGTATGTTAAATATACAGTTTATTTATTACCCTATGTTAGCGTATTTTACAGAGGAAGAGTGTATTGGGATTTTCGCCTCTCCCAGAGACTCTTTTTTATTTTTAGCTTTGTAAGATAACAAACTTTATACCATTAAAGGACAAAAAATACGAGACACGGAAGCGATTGTTCTCTGTAAACCCGTTACTGGTTGATGTCGGTATAATTATCCGTGTCGAAGTTAATACTACCCTTGCCCTCACCCTAAAAAAAAAAAAAAAAATGAAAACGTCACGATATATTACCTAATATTGATTTATAAATTCAAATTTGAGACAATTATAATAAATGTTATTAATATTATAACATATAGACATACATATTACACTTTTAATTTGTATATTACGTAAAACGTCTTCACAGTTATAAGACGAATGAATGAGGGAGATCTCGATTTTGATGGTAAGTAAACAATGTCATTTTTTTTGGGTACAATATATAAAAATAAAATTTCGAATATTTCGATAACCTAGAACGAATTACCCACCAAAACTACCACGAACACGGCCCCGAGCCTTACCGGAATATTAAGTAATATCTCTTATCACACTACAGATGACTGTGCATGCACCCTATACGGCCTATACCTATTTAAGAGACAACGTAAAAGTAAAAGCAATTCTAGCGAAATTTTAGAGGAAAATATTTAGTAATAATAATATTCAAATTCTTTTACAATTAATCGTCTAAAACGTACTCGCAAAATAGATAAAAGACAATAAACTCACTCAAAAATTATTTTACAAAGAAACGCCTATTATAAAATTTATATATTGATATACTGTCTATATATATATATATTTTTTAAGGGTCATTTATCTCTTTATATGTTTTCATCATATAAATATTTGTCACAATTATCATCAATCAAATTATTAAAATTATTTACGTCAATGGCGTATATAGGGAGGAGGGATCACAGCATGTCGCAGTCTCCCTCTCAAAATGTCTTTCTTGGCTGAGAAATTGTAAGCATAACTCATACAACCATCATATAAAATCAGCGTTGTCGTTCTACCAATAGTGTAAATAAAATTATTGTTATACCGAATGGTTCTTGTATTGTTAAACACTCATTATCTTGAAAAGTGTTAACTTTTTTTCGGAATCTGGCGTATAAAAAATTTAAGAAACGAGCAACTCTACAGTTTTACATTTACATTATTTTTTGTCGCCCTAATTTTTGGGGGTAAAAGGACCACCTACTATTTATTTTCAGATAGCAACATTAAACATCCCACAAACAGATGTAATATTTTGTTAAAATCAATTTTAGTGATAAAATATTTGACTTCTGTCAATCCATTAACGATATATCGAAACTTTTGAGTTTGGCTCAAAGGAGAGTAATGGTGCATTATTAAAACGTCACGCGCCGTGCCGCTACACAAATGATGCTCCACTACTCTCGCCCAACAACAATTTAATAGTGGAATATCTCATCAACGAATTGACGGAAATTAAAAATGTCCACGCCAAAATGTATTCTAACTAATACTCTGTCTATTTAATAAGGCAATTTCAATATAGATTGCCATTTAAAAATCAAAAGTAGGCAGTCGTTTTACCCCCGAAAATAAGGGTGACAAAATAAAGCATAATGTAACATTTTAAAAATAATTGTTTTTTAAGTTTTCAAAAAAAAAAATTCAAATATAATCAATAATTTTCGAAATAATAAGTATTTAACGATGAAAGAATCACCCGGTATAATTAAATATTTGTTATGATTTTATTTTATTTTACATTTATGTCATCGGTTCCTTTCAAGATCCGTTTTATTGATAAATCATAACGATGATGACAATCTCAACTTATATTACTCGTACAATTGTGCTTTAAAATAAAACTGAATTTTATATTCAGAATTTATCAGACACTAACATTAAAACACAAATATTGGTTTTAAGGTTTGATTGGCAACACATTTATTATTAATTTATACGTACCATGAACCTTCGATTTACAACACAAACCAGGACTCTCCCCACTGCACACTGATAATGTTCGCGTATAATGTACACACTTATACACAATCTAACGGCAAATTCATTATCAGCAATTAATGTATATCTAATTTTTTTTTCTATCACATAGCCTTAATCACAAATATAGATAATTCCTTCTCCGATAATTTCTCATTATTAATAAAATACAATTGCGTATACCATTCCTGTTGTTAGCTACGTGACAAATGCTGCACGTTGTATCCTATGATAATTTGTTCAGTTTAACGAGTATTTAATAATACAATTTCGATTAGTTTATTATTATTATTTTTTTTTTTTTACTCAAATATTGAATTTTTAAAAAAAAAAAATATTTTTATCAAAAAATTTAACTCCTTAAATAGATAATATGTTAAAAACTTGTTTTGGATGTTGTTCCCTTCGGCGTGGTGCCAGTTGTATTGCTATTTTTAACATAGTAAGTATAATTAATATTTGTAATTTTTAACGTTTTTGTACCTGCACTGGGTTAACATATACATAAACCGGCAACTTCGAGGAGGGGGGGGGAGAGGAGTAAAAGTTTAAAATTACAGGCTAAAATTTTCCTAAAAAATAAATTAAACAATTATTAGGTGTCAAAATTACAATTACAGAAAAACTATCATAGACTTGTAAAATGTACAACTATAGACATTACACAATTAGGTACCTACCAAGTTTTAAAGGAAGTATAAACTTACTACAATATTAAACAAATATAGATATTTTTGTATAAACTCTAACTAGAATTTAATTCATAATGTAAAAAGCGATTTTTTTTTTCTAAGATTTCTGAAAATTAGGTCACCTTTCCCTCCCTTCCCCGTCGAGTTTATAAATTCATCCTTATATACGTGTATACACTCGTGTTTTCAATATTTTATAATATTATTATATACGACTGTAGTAAATTACCTAATAGTAGCGAATTAGAGTTTAAAACAGCCTAAAATGTTTTAGCTTTGGAATGTATTGGAAATATTTAAACACGGTATTCATCGTAAAAATCAGTATGGAAAACTCAGTCAAAAACGTATTGTACAAGATTTTAACAATAGTGACGAGAACTCGACGTATAACGATTACTCATTAGAGATCGAATTAGTACCCGTCATGAATGGTTAGTATTGGCACTTATAGGTATCTAATTAAATATCTAAACAGTAATTGTATGCGACAATATATGTATCGACATCATAACCAATTTTCCTTCAGGGTTGTTCATGGACTATGTATTCATCACTTGTGTCAGTTGGATCGTTATGGAGTTGATCGCAAATATCGGCCTCAAACAGTCTACTTACAAGGTATATAATCGATATAAAATATAAAAAATAATTATTGAAATTTCTATGATATAGTATTGCGGTTTCAGTGTCAATATAATAGTGTATTTAAACTTATTGTAGCTCGCTGTTCACAAAATCTACATATGGCTCGTAATATATTATGGAAATATAATATTCATGATACTCCACTTGTGTTATTACGAAATAAACAATATAAAGCTTCAAACGTTCGATCATTACACGAATAGAAATCATAATTTTGGAGCCATAGAGCATGTATGTACACCAACAAATCATTGATTATTAAGATTATGTAATCTATATAACAAACAAGTAAAGTAAAAATCGAGTTAATACAAAAATAATACTTCACGTTAATATTAAACCTATATAAAATTTAATAGAATATAAAAACAAATATTTTTTTTAAAAAATTAAATTCTCTGTATGCATATATATACAATAATGCTGATTCTGAAGAGAGAATTTTAATTCTAGCTTAATGTCAACATAACTCAATGTTGATTTTTGAGATTTTGAAAAATCAAAAAAATCCGGAAAGAATAATAATCAAAAGTATTTAGTGTTTAGAAAGAATACATTCATTGCATTTAATTTATTTTTAAATAGAAATGCATTCATTAATTCAATTACCTTTATTTTTAAGGAATGGTGAATGCGAATGCAAATGATAGAATTCCAAAAATAAAAAAATAAAAATATTAGTGATAATTAATAATGATATATTGTTTTTGTTTTTTTTTTTTGCCAATATTTTTACAAATAACAATAATTTTTTTAAATGGATCTCAAATTTTGTGAAATTCATTTATTATGAAAATAAGGATTGGTGAATGAGATTAAATTACTTTATATAAGTCAGGAATATGAGTGAGAAAGCATTCTTTTTTAAAATTAATTTTCCAAATAATGTTATTCTCGGCATTTTAAATTTGAACTTTAATCGATCTTAACTATCTCAAAGATTATTGTGTTTAGTTAGTATAGTTAAAAATGCACTATGAATTCCGTCGCATTACATTTATTTCGATACTTTTATATAATTATTAAATATAATAATACGTATAAAATAAATAAATAATATGCTAATTGGCTGTATAGTTATTATGCAGTCACAAAACAAATGTTCGGTTAAGTTATATCCAATTGCTATATACCTAAATAAATTAAGAGAATATTAATTTTATATTATATTACAATTTTTTTAGAAGTTGATTTATACAGCAATTGTTATTTTCGAAATTTTCATCATCCACTCGTACTACATCGTCGAAGAAAAAGCAGCACTGCAGAATTTCATAAAAATCAAATGGAAATACGTATCCAAGGGAGAAGTCATGTCGAGTGGAGTTGACTATCCTTCTGCGTCGAATTTCACCGCGTTAACATCGCGCCAAACCCAAGAAGGTTCCAGAATACCACCGTATATAACCAGGGTTGCACAAGATTAATTACGATATTATTACTCAAAATACAAATCCGATTATTAAGTATATAGGATACGGACTGTTTTTAAAATGTCTCGTTAAATGTTGGTTAGCCCTAATCCATAGAATTTTGCCGGTTTGAGGCAAATTTAATCACCGGTTTTCGCTAATAAGACATTTTAAGAACATGCCATGCCATTTTCAATAACATTATAAATGAATAGCAAATTAATTATATTTTTAACTCAATATAGTAAATTATATAATAATATGGTAAATATTAAATTATATTTTAGCGTACAATACTATTAATGTAAAAAAAAAAAACGTGAATAAAATAATTAAGTAGTTCGATCGGGTGTTGTAATTATACATATATATATTATTATTATCTACGGTACTTTGGTTTTTCCGACTGTTAATTTATTACCTATATTACCTATCATATGTAAATTAAAACTACCTATATATTATAAGTTATAAGTAAAACTAATAATCAATAAGGTTCCATTTTATATCCTAAATGTTTTATGCATAAATGGATAAAATTGTATCCTACTCAATGGTAAATGAGTATTTAAATTTATTTTACACTCTTAGTCCACGGATTTAATTTGTATACGCATTAAATTTACGATATTATACTAACTCCAATGACGTGTCATCGCTGGTCCTTTTTTTTTTTTACAACTCGCTATTGCTTATAATTGTCATAATAAACACCCGAAGATAAAACTATAACTCAATAATATATTGTATTATTATAACAAATTATATACCTTTACTGAGTTTTACCTATACAATCATAGTTCTTTAAGTGTATAAAGCCTATGAAACGTTTTTTTTTTTTTTTTTTTTAGTATAATATATTATTTATTTAATTGATGTATTATTTTACAATTATAATTGTATAGTTTATTTAAGCTTTAGACATACCATAGATACCTTAGACTCTAAAATATCAGGAGTCTAAGGTACACATGTCGAGATTTAATCAAAATATAGAACACACATTATCAATATAAACTTATACAGTTCATAGTTGACTCTACAGGTTTGGAAACCATTGCAGTCAGTTAAATTATCAACACTATAAGTATAAGTATATAGATATGTTAACAATTATATAATGTTATGTGTTATAATTTTCGATTATATATAGGTACCTACGTACTTAATTATCTTAATTTATCGCCGTGTATTAAAATCAGTGGCGTAAAAAGAATATTGTATTGAAGTGGGGCTAAATACGTGTTAGCTTAAAATTGTAGGCGTTGGTAAGAAAGTTTTAGAGATTTCGATCCCCCCTACCTGCTATAAGTAGTTTTATAAATATGCATTTTTATGCAATATATTAAACAAAAATTAATAGACAAAATAAACTTATTCGTGAAATGAGAATATGTCTTGGTATATCTTGTAACTTCATTATACAGAATATACACCCTTCTGACAGATGCATTGTTCTAGTTGAATTTTGAGCAAAGATAGTAATTATATTATTTTCAATAGTTTCTTCTTATTTTATTTATGTTAGCTAACAAAGTGAGTCTATTTTCTATCCCAGAGAGCCTCCTTAAATCGTTATCATACGGCTAAGCGGTGAAGAATTATAAGTAGAATACTACTAATAGAAAATACATAATATTATACTCTTTGTCGCCGATACAGTGCTTCTACAAAATTTTAAAATAATATTTTTATTATTATAATTTTGTTTTTTTTTTTTTTTTTTTAGAAAACATAACCCAACATTACATTATTACCCTTTATTACATTAAAAATTTCGTTTTAATTTAAAAATAAGTAAAATCAATTTTATCTCTGCAGGTGACACATGAATCGCAATCAATTAAATTGGCGTGAACAGCTATAATAGCTATGCTAGGCCTGTTTCACATACACATGTTTTTTATTGATTAAAGTTTATTCATAAATGTTCTATACCAAATAATTGACAAACACTAGGGCTCTATCGCGCATATAAGTCCCCCAAAAGAATTTTACTCCCCGTGGCGTCTGCCTCGGTTGCCCCTGCGGTAGTCACGCCACTGATACCGTGTACCACGATTATTTACCGAAGGAAATTTTACCTCTCCCGGTAAATTATCTCCAGAAAAATTTTACCTCCTGATAAAATTTCACTAATTTTTTTTTTAAAATAATTTTCGCTATCTGTTATTTCGTTAAATATATAGTACTATATTATGGAGAGGGCTTTACTTTGTTTACAATATTATCGATTGTTCATTCACGTATAATGAACGTATAATTTTATTCTGCATAGTTTTACTGATATATGTAACGAAAAATCCGATTCTGGGCGAAGTTCAGTTGATAGTAATGCTTTGTCAATAATATTATATATATATATATATATATCATATTATGGTAAAATAATTGTGTAGACATTATTTCTCCACACAAATATTATCATTTTTTTTATTTATATATTTATACACAATCAATTATGAATAATTTGACAGTTAACAAAAAAAATGTATTATAATATAAATATATACTTATTTACATTATTTATTTTATTTAACGTATATTTATTTTTATTATAGTTCATTTACTCATAGTTCACACTTACGAGTTCTATCAATATGTCAAAAGATTCTACAAATAATTATAGTAAAGATTAATTTGAGCGGTTAATAAATAAATTTAACAATTATTAATTAAAATAGTGGTGGCTCTGCCATTTATTAAATTTAACTACATATTGAGTAAATTAAAACGTATTTTGTGTTGTCACATTGCCAAATATAAATCATGCAGAGAAGGGCTAAGTTTTTAAATTTATTGTAGGCCTTTTAATAATTTTGTTTTTTGGTTGACTCAATGAAAATTATTAGTGATATACATCAAAACAAAATCAAAAAAATCAAAACTACTTGTCTAGGCACCAACTAGATAAAATACATTATCAAAAAAAAAGATGCTACATTTTAATTTCAGAGCAAGACTACTGGTAGGAAAACGATGTCAAAAATAAACTTTCATTACCATATATTTATCAATTTTTCTCTTACGGTTTTTCCAACTATTATAAAAACCGCTTAAAAAATCAAAAAAATTACTTCTCTAGATCACAAATTCAATGAAAACCGGTTTCTAGTCATTTTTCGCCTAAAGCAAAATTTCTGGTAGAAAAGTTGTTCACAAACAGAAAAAATACAAAAAATAACAATCACACAAAATGTAAAACCAATATTACATTTCTCACTCAGCTTGGAATCCAAAATATAGGTTTTAGTGTTTGAATTGCAGTGATACAATTAGTATTTCTATAATATAATAGTACAGGTGTAAAATTAAAAAGTTAAATGCATAAATCAATAATAATAAAATATAAATAAATTGAATTCAAATTAAATTACAAATGAAAGGTTCCACACTTTTCTTATTTCTAACAACCAAAACATAGAAAATAATTAAATATAACATAATTATTTTATTAAGATATCCAATCAAATATAAAATTGGCCCATCAAGAATTATTGTTATTTTTTATGGATCTCTTTAAAAAACTGGTTGGTCACCATGGTACCAACGAACCAAGACTCCCCACTCGTAATGTCCGTTTATACAGAACATGAAAACAGTTAAATGTTTATCATCAATTATTTTATTTTAAGCAACATTTACTATCACATCGCATGCGTATACACAATACACAGATAATTTTTATCTTAGTTATTTATTCATTTATAATTTACCGATTTACGAGTAGCTGCGTGTTCCGTTCAAATTACCAATTACGCGTGCAGCTAATGAATGCACATTATTGTATCGTAATAACTGAATTCTATACAATACTAATTTGAACGATTGTTTAGCTAATAAATTTAAAATATAGTATGATATATTTTCCCGATTAATTTTTACATTCAATTTTAAATCTTTTTTACAAAACAAAACAATTTTCTGACAATCGTTTTAGTTTCTTAATTAGATAATATTATGTTAAAGAATTGTTTTGGATGTTGTTCCCTTCGGTATGGTGTCAGTTGTTCTGCTATTTTTAACATAGTAAGTATCAAGTACCTATATTTTTATTTATTAGTGGTTACTATTACCTGCACGGGTACATATTGGAGTTCACAATGATATAAATAATACTACTGGAAAAATTAACAGACTGCTCTCGGGAGATATTGGGCCACTTGGCTTAATATAATTGCAAACAATTTAAAGCATGATTATTGCAGAAAAACCATAAACTGTCGTAGGTTTATACAACCTGAGCTCGTTCCACCTCTGCGAAGGTAGCCACTATGTATACTTGTTTTCGATATTTGATAATGAATCATAATGACTATATTAGTTGTATATAAAATTTGAATTTATCATTAAATTTAAATGACCAATAGATTTTAGAAAACCCTGTAATTTAATATCTATAACTTTCGTTTTAGTTTTGGAATATTTTGGAACTGATTAAACACGGTGTACATCGTAACTTTGACTATGATAAAAAGATTAAAAGACCTTTGAATTCTACAACAATAGGATTTAACACAACAGAATTTGAGGACAATATTATGACAGAAGAATATGAAATGTTTCCCGCTATGCATGGTTAGTAAAAAATAATTAATATCGACCCGTGACATTATATAACTATTATTAACATATGGAATTTGCCTCTCCAGGAATATTCNTTTTTGTAATCTTAGTTCCGTTTTATCAGTTATGAACTTTTACTCATTTCAGCACACTACTCAAAACATCTACGCATGGCTCATCGTTTATTATGGAAATTTAATATTCATGATAATCCACATGGTATATTATGTAGTGAACAGAATTATAATGTTTGGTTCTTTTGAAAATTTTTTACATGCGCACTTCTTTTACCATGAACACGGGATACATTTTTTTTCGGTATGTATATATCAACAAATTATTGATTATTTAAATCATGTATTTATGTACTAACCAACTCAAATAATTTACACAATAAAAAATACCTAATATATGTGTCAAAAATAAAATATATCGATCTAAAAAAACAAAAAAAAGACTATCATCGATATTATTTTATTATTATTTTTTTTTTTTACGAATATTGTAATTGATAAATTATAATAAAGAAATATCGTGTTTCAATTGAAATATTATTTTATAAATCCCAATATTATAAAATATGATCCAAATATTGTATATAAGTTTTATCAACATATACATTGACATTTATCTACTAACAAAAGTTATGATACATACTAAGAAATTAGAAAGGTAGGATATATAAAAGAATTTAATGTATATCTGCATGGAAATATAAATCATTGCTCACGAAAAGCTATCCTGAGCGGAGTTCAGTCATACGCATTTTGAAAGGCGGCAATGTTTAATATTTTCGTTAAAAATTTTTTTATTAAAATTCTCATATAAAACAAACAATACATTAAATTCATTTTCTTGTTTATCGCCAAGTACATTTTATAATGAACCTCATGTTAAATGTTCAAATATTTCTGTTAGGTCTAACGGTTTTGTCCACGGAATACCTACTGAATACAAATTACGTAAATGACTCCCAAAATTAAAATGTCTATAAATAGCTTAAATATAACTTACATTTTTTGACAATTTTACGATATTTAAAAACGGAAAATATAAATTTTCTCTCCGAATTTTAAGTCTTTTACGAATATTTTTAACTAAATCACGACAAAATTTTAAATAATATATTTCGTACATTTTCCTGTTTTTTCCTAAGATTTTTCCCTATTTATAATGAAAACCAAACCTCGGAAAATCAAAAATTACCTCTTTAAGGTACCAACAAGATAAAAAAAAATTCAGAACAGGTTGGAGCAAGATTTCTTTTATAGACAAAACAAAAATAAGTAATAAATATTGTAAACCTAATACATTCCTCACTGCGTTCTAATTCTAAAACTACGAAACATATTAAACGTTAATTTAAACTTATATTGAATCTCGTATAAAACATTCTATCATTTTTATTCAGCCGAACAATTTTATTCACAATAAATCGAATTCGAAATAAAGAAACTCGAAAATGGCATATGCTTAAAAATAGCTTACATAATTCATAATGTTTTTAAAATTTTACCACATTTAAAATAGCTCATAAAATTTACCTATATAAAAATTTTTAAATTTATCGTTTTATTTTACTATAGTACAATTGCTTTTTGTAATTGATTTCTGATAATAAAAGCATTTATAGTTAGGTACTTTCATATTATGATGGTTTTGATGGAACTTATCTAAGTCAATTTTGTAATTTTTTTATATAAAATATTTAATTATGAAAATACATACTGGTGTACATTGACTAATTACAATAAGTCACTGAATACACTAATGTTGAAAATGTATACACTAATGAAATTTAGTTTCCTAAGTCTAATAATTTATTAGTATACAAATAATATAGCTATTACAAAAAAAAATTTAATTTTATACTTGTGTGTTATAACTTTTTTTAGAATTCCATCTACATAATAATTATTGCTGTAGAAATATTTGTCACCCACTCGTATTACATTGCCGAAGAAAAAGCAAAATTACAGAAGTTCGTACGAATCAAATGGAATTACGTATCCAGAGGAGAAGTTGTGTCAAATGGAGTCAACTATCCTTCTGCAACAAATTTCAACGATTTAACATCACGCGGAACCCAAGAAAGATCAAAAATACCACCTTATATAACCAATGTTTTACAGGATTAGTTACAAATAATAATCAATAATATTACCAAATATTAACTAATATTCCTTGTTCATTAACATTAAAATCTAACTACAATTTAATTTATATTTATATTTAATTTATATTCTATCTATTATCTACATACTCCTATACAACTAGATAAATGTGAAATAGGTTAGTTTTTTCGGAGTTTTTATAACAGCTCATCTCAAAAACCACTGAACGGATTTAGTTGTGAATGTTTTATTTTTCATTTTTGTAATATCAATAAATATATCAAATTTAATAATATTTTAGTCTATCTACTCTACTCAATGTAAAAGTTATAGACAATTCACCATAAATATTTAGATAAGTAGTTCTAGTATATATTTTATAAATTTTATCTGCAGTATCTTTGCCTTTATCGAAGCCAATAAATAATATAACAATTTTAATAATCGTGTAAATCTATTCCAGATGATTAATTTGTCACAAATTTATAGTTCAGTCCCTTAAAATAACCTTATTATAGACTTCTTTTTCTATTCCGCCTTCATCCCGACTATTTTTAATAAGTCACCCTAGTCCTAATCATCCAATTTACCCTATGTCTCACATACCTTCCTTGCATAGACCTCGCATAGATCCTTATATCATTCTCAAACACAACCAACCAATTCATTTTTAGTCTTTCTATCTTATCCTTTTTTCTAAATTTATTTTCATTGTAATTTCTTTTGCTTCTGATTCCACTCTCCTAAATTAACCCTAGACCATCTATTTGACAGTCTATTTTTTCTCATTTCTTCTATTTTCGAAACTATCGCGAATTCTTATTTAATCTTTCCTTCTTGCTATCCTTCTATGTAATCTTGCTACGGTTTATAAGTGCAGCTTTTTTTCTGAAAGGTAGGCAAACTGAGGAGGTACTTTAAGGAGGTCAGTTTTTAATTTTCACAGGAGTTTTCCCAATAAATGGAAAAAATCGTGGAAAAACAGTGGCCCACCCTTGTATAAGTATGTCCGTGTTTTTAATAATTCAATTAAGAGAAAAATACCTATAATTATGCAGTAGGATGTAATTATATGCGCTAATTGATCATTATTATTAATGCTAATTGGCTGTGGGTAAAGTTTTATTCTTTGAACTTAAAAAAAATGATTAAAAATCACGAATTAAATGAAAATACAAAATTTACACTTCAACATTTTTTAAAAGAATAAACTAAAAACATAGCTATCTTCAAATCATCTAAAAATAATAAAATAAAATAAAAAGTTATGTGATTAAGTTTTTTACATAAATATGAAAAATTAATTGAAATATAAATATGTATAGTCCTCATCCCTGTGAGCTATATAGAGAAATCAGAATTTGATTATCATTATTATCTCCGGAGATATTATAATAGGTATATCTTCGTGGGACACCCTGTGTATTGATAGCTTTTAAGACCCTACGTCGGTGGGGGTGAGTGGTTGGGTGTACAAATCTTCCGAAATGTTTTCAAAATTATCGATTTATTATTTTCAAGATAAACAACAACCATAATTCTTTAATATATAAAATCTCGTGCCAAGGTGTTGTGGAAACGGCTCAACCGATTTTAATGACATTTTTTTTTGTATATTGGTAGGTATGAGAATAGGTCTTAAAGTATTTTTCACCCTCTCCCCATTTTTAATCGCAATTTTAGTATTTTAATTAGGTTTTAGGTATTATTTAATTATTTTATTTTATGGATTACCATAGTTACATGGATAAAATGAAAAAAAAATTTAAAAAGTTAGTTAAAACGTATCTATGCTATCTATGGTAATTAACATACATAAAAATAATTCTAAAGATCTATGTGCACAATACATAAATCATGTGTGGCTGACAGAAAGAGCCATTTCGAAAGTAAAAAATGTGGACGTCGACGATTTAAACTTCAAGATACAGCAGTCGGTGCCAGGCGACTTGGTATCTTACAAATCAGTTGATACAGTTTGCGACGCCGACGAAGCTGTAAATTATCCAACAGTTTTTGAACTCACTGCATTTGCCAGACATGCCACCACACCTGTGACTGAAAGTTGGATGTCCGGTTATTTTACTTTCAAATTTGAACCTACCACGATTGTGCAATGGCACGTGATTGTTCATTAAAAATTGATGAAAAACATTATCGAAGCCAACATTTTGAATGGCAAATTCCGAGGCGAAAATGTTTCGTTGCCACGCATTCCAATCGAATTCAAACACGTTCAATTTCCTACTAGATGGATATAATAATCAATAAGTCGCAAGGCCAAACGATGTCCGTGTGCGGCTTAAATTTTTGCACACCATGTTTTTTTACACGGGCAATTGTTATACGTGGCATGTTCTCGCGTGGGCAAACCATCGAGCTTATTTGTGTTGGCTAAGGATGGACTAACAAAAAATAACGTGCACTCAATTACTCTTCGAAATTAATATTGATTTTCTTTATTTAATTTTTCTACTGCGACATACAACAGCACACTTTCAGTTTTAAATTTAATATTTCACTTACAATTCATACTTACGTTCGATTTATTTGATGATTTATATGACAGAACAACGTTTGTCGGGTCAGCTAGTAATATTATATTTGTAACAAAATTATACAGTTGGTTTAATTTAACCCCACTGGAAATTCGGTCGAGCCTTCGGTTAGCGATTACATATTTTTCTAATCATTAAAATATGGTAAAAATATTATCATGTGAGCCGAATTATGCCCGATCTAAAAATTTATTTTTATTGTTATTGTTTTTATTTTTTATCGCGTAATTTATTTTATATTTTACACTTCATATTTTTATTTACATTGCTTGTATAAAAGGACTCGCGCAACACATATTATAGTTTATATACCGGAAATTAAAAAATTAGATACGTATATACTTTAATAAGTATAAAAATAGTATTTTTATAGTTATTACCAATTTACCATATGACGTAGTTCTGTAAAGTTCTGTGTAATACGATTATTGATTTGTTTTTGTTTTTTTTTTTTTTTTTAATTTTACTTTTTATAATATTCGTATAATCATACATATTATAATCGGTATAGTTTGTGTGACTGATATAATCGTAGCTATTAGAATCGAGTCTAAGGTACAAACGTCAATATTTTATTAAAATTTATCATAATTACCTATACGTAACATATGGATACCTATATTATATTGTAGTGTATGTACAATCGAGTCCATATTTATATTATTATTCAGGTTTAGAAACCATTGGAGTTGATATTAATATTTATCAACGCTATATAATAATGTATAGGCTTCGATTATACCTACCGATTTTTTTTTTTTTTTTTTTTTTTTTATCACCGCCGTATAATATTAAACTAAAACCCGAAAAAAATACACATTGTGTGTAATGTTCTTCTGCTTGACTCGAGTTAGTATAATGATAAACTGATTTTGAACGATGGATATTATTTATATAATATTATAGTAGTGATGCAATACACGCTAATAGATAATATTATTATATTATTACGATACTATTAACGCCAACACTAATATTATTACACAGTACAATATTATAATTTTAATTTCGTATTAGCGGTGTACTTTTCGTCAAAAATATTCCGCATAGGTACGTCCGACATTAGTGATGAGCATGCGAAGTACGTGTTTCGGATGTTGTTCGATCGGCACCGGCGTTAATTGTATTTTTATTTTGAACACAGTAAGTCGTCGTCATTGAATCGGTATTGTTATTATTATTTTTTTAATTATTTTATTATCAACTGTAATCGAAATATCCATAAATCATCATTTTTTTACGTTTAATAGCCAATAATAAGTTCCGTGCACGGGTGCCCACCTATTTTATCAATACAATTGTTTATAATATTATAATCATATTTAAAACTTTTCATCGTCATCAAAAATCACTGCAACCGTTTTATTATTATAAATTAAAATAATATATCCCATCCAATTAAAACGGGTAATGATTATATTTGAATACAGCAATGAGCTGCATTGTACGTTTCATGAATATCGATAGTAATAACCAGGTATTCATTTATTGTTGATTTCTTGTTTATTGCACGATAAAATATGCAATTAATATTAGCGCAGTCAATAAGTTGTGCACAATAAAAACGTATTCAAATCACGCTTACCATGTATGAAAATATAATAATGTGGTATTACGAAGAACAACGCGAAAGTGCAAACGTTTACAACCAGACTTCAGATTTCTGACGTAAACAATAATATACAGAGTGATTTTTTTTTCACCGTAAATAACCTATGGTCGTTGATATTTCAACATTATTTGCATTTTCTTAAAAGCGAATTAAAATTAACTATTTTACATGGAATAAAACCCACGTTTATGAATATAATACATAATAGGTATTATAATATATTCATATCAATTGTTTAGGGCTATATAGCCAACTCCCTTCTACAGAAAATCATCAGTCATCACGCCTTTGGGTGTCGTTTGCAATGTTAAACATTGTTAATATAATATACACGTACCTACTAAACCAACAGTTTAATATGATATCGTTATCGTTTGAAAAATTTAAAAATTATAACGATGATAAAACCTATAAAATAATACGATATTATTGTAAAAATGACGTACCGTAATCAATCCCAAATTCAATTTTTTTTATTAGTTTTTAGATTCTGAACGGAGCGAAAAATATATTGGTTTTACAATAATGTTTATTTTTTTTTTTCTTTGGACAACTTTTTTACCACCAATTTTGCTCAGATTTACAATGATAGCACTTTTCCTAAAAGAAAATCTGACTGGGGAGGTACTTTCAGGAAGTCATTTTTTTGATTTTCCCAAAAATTATCCCAATAAATGGGAAAAACTGGAAAAAATGTAGAAAAAACGGGATATAGAGAAGGTTTAATACTAAATATTATTACTAAAACAAATATTATTAAATAAAATATATAACGCCTTTAATTATTTTATCATAATATGACATAAATATTATATATTGTTGAAAAAGTAACATTATCAACGGAACTTCGCTCAGAATCGTTTTTTCTTTCGTTAGCAACAGTAAATCGTTTCTTATAGATATATATTAAATTACCTATATAACAGTGGTTACACCCGTCCCCATTATTCTAGGAAAGTTTTTTTTATTTAATTCAATTTTTCACCGTAAAATCACAGAAAACGAAATTTATTTGCCGAGCTAACGGATAGTTCGCGATACAAAAATAAATACAACTGAAATATTTTAGAACGAATCAATCGAATCGAATTCAGAAAAATGAATTCTAGTATCGACAGTACCTACACCTCGTAATTTAATATGTGGTATTTATACTTTTATATACAGTTATGGATCACTTCGAAAATAATGAGCGATTTCATGCATCATTTATTAACCTACAACAGATTTTCTGCAATCACCAGCCGAGAAAATACTATGACACAGACCGCACCTGGACCCGAATTATTAAATCCCAACGTAACTCTTCAGCCGTGCAACCATAGTTATAATTCTACGGCAAACGACTTTCTTCCGCAGCGTGCAGTAATGAATGTTAAGTATTTTTTTTTTTTTTACTTTTATAATTTCTACATATAATAATATAATAATATGAATAATAATCGTATACTCAAAAATCGCAACTCGCTTAATACTATTAAATAATCAAACTATTAAAAAGCTTCCTATAATTTAGTATCTATAATCAACCTAGGTGTACACAGATTTTATGATATTATGTATTACGATGAGTAATAATTTCTATACAGTTTGCGAAACGAATACACTTTTCGTTATTCAGACTTTAAACACTTACTTAATATAGGTAACCCAAGGTTTGAATAAAATTTAAGAAATACGATAGGCAGGTATAGTTACATAAAATATACAGGTATAAATCGCAAACATCAGCTGTCAGATACATATATTAATTGCGTAATTCTATCGTTCTTTTCGACCTTTTTTTTTTTTATTTGTTCATGGCGAGGTTGCGCACCGTTGAATGGTCGGATCATACATCATTTGCACATCAAAATGTTCAACAACAGAAGAGCTGAAACCCCGAAACCACAAAATTCTTTTCTAACTTTCGGCTTAATACCCAGTATTAATAATTTTTAAACGTATTGATTACAAAGAACACATTTTCAAATAATGCTATTATAGGCATAGTAGGTACTTATTTCTGTTTTAAAAATATAATATACATGTACTTATTACGATGACAATCGCGGGTGAATTGTAACAACAACCCAATCCGATCGGATATTATAAAATGAATACAACTATAGGTATATTTAGCAACCGACGTTTAACTTTAAAACTGTGAGGTCAGTTAAAATTTGTCAATTCAAATCTGTCATTTTTCAAAAATATTTTAAAGTAAAACACTGAAAAATTGAGAAGTTTTTTTTACTTTGTTTTCGATTTGTTAACGCGCAAATGATGTATAATATGTTGACGCGAGATAAACCGACGGCGCGTAAATGATACACTGCCGTTGATGTGCAAATAATATACAATAAAAAAAAAATAGTTTTTGAGGCAGGTAAACAACCGATGCGCAAATGATAAACGCCGCTATACACTGAACCCGGTAAAACCAAAAACAATACGAATCATGCGAGTAAACAAATACAGGGAGATTCTATTTAAAATGTTATTAAAAATCTGCAGTCAATTAAGAATAGGTTTTTCAAGAAAAATGAAACAAAAATCACCCTGAAATTTTTATTTTTTTTTTTATAGTTCTTTACATACAGTTCATTAAGGCCTTTTGCACAATTCTAACACGCTCCTCATCAGTCTATCCTGATCTATCGCATTTTCCATTTCAGTCGATATCTGACATATATAAAATTTATTATATATATTTAAATATTTTCCAAACCCTATTCAACCACTACTGGCGAAATTTTTGGCCACTTTTGTCGAGTTTCTATAAGTCAAACATTTCGCAAAATACTTTCATCGAAGCCCGCCAAACACGATCTGCACGTCCAATCGTTTTGCCCTTGTCCAGGAACATACTGATATTTGGCCATTATTTTTTTGGACAAACATTCTATAATTCGCAGGTTTTTGTCTTTCATATATTCCGCATTTTGATTTCGCACATGACAATGTATTTTTCACGATACTTATTTATATTTAATTACAATAAATATTAGGATATTCAATTTTATAATGGCAATAGTATAACTATATAATACAAATCACTTTAAAATAATAATATTTCGAATGTTTATACCTAACGGTTTTCAATATGATTACAGACATTTTTCTGGACTACACATTTATTGTGCAATTGGCATTGAGCATAATGGAATTCTATTTGAACGTAGGCTTGAAGCAAACAACCCACACGGTGAATATAGTACTATAATGTTAATCTTCTTTGCCTTCGTCCAGACTATTTGGAATACTCTCGTCCTATAATTCCACTTGAACCGATCTCTCACCTCGCATACACCGGCTGTCTCTCATATGATCCATGTCTCTGTTCCACTCAAGCCTACTTATCCTTAGTTCTTTTCCTTCAAGTGCTACGCTCCATTCCTCGAGCCTATATTGCTAACTACTTCCAGATGTTCTTCTATCAAACCCGTATCTGCAAACATTATGCACCATGGTACCTACTCTCAACTCTTGTCCCCGCGCACATTCGATACGGGGCAATCCGTCCAAGTCTTGTTTAGAATTCCACATACTGTTTAACAGAATTTCACACCGGCTGTCGACCTGAAGCAATCGCATTTGTCGCCTCTTGCAACAGGTAAAGGTACCGCGGGAGTATTCTGATCTCCTCCCACAAGGAAAATGGCATTGTATACTAAAAGACGAATTCCTTCAACCTACGGAAAAAATACCGTATAATACCTATACTGTAATCACCCACTTGGGCTTTCCACCTGAATATTATGAGCTCAGGGCCCCTGTTCGCTAAAGTCCCCTGAGGTTTAGTATTTTAATGTTTATGAATTATGAAAATGGAATATCTACATAATATGTATTCTGTACAAAATAAATATATTCTTTCAACTTCAATTTAATATTTATTGTGTACGCTATCCCGGTTAGGTACAGAAAACTATAGAAAACTTTACCTACGTTCGATGTTTTATACAATTCGAGACGGTACACAATAAGTTCCACTTTTTTGTATTTTTTTTTCACTTTATTAGATCTGTTTCTTTAAATAAATAAAACATATTGGACACCACCGTTTTCGAAAGTAAACTGCACACGCTATTATAAAACTCTACATTCGGAATCCAAAATATACCATTTGTGATTATCTTAACTAAAAAATTAGGTAGGTACTCATTGGTTTATTTTTTTTTTTTTCCAAAACAGTTATCACCGGAGAAGATTTATGCTTGGCTAGTCATTTACTACGCTAAATTTATCAAAGAAATCGTTTTTCAAATAACGGTTATTACGAAAGGTTTGTTTTGGATACAGTTTTTGGAATATATGGTATGCAAAACAAATTATATTTAAGTTTATTTACGTATTCCTTCATAATTTTATAACCTAAATAAAAAAAAAAAAAAACCTACTACTATATACTACATTCACGTAAAATTTCCCCAATAATACGGCTATTAACGACTTCCTATTTACGCCATGGCGATGATAATTCTTAAACGATTGTGCTAGTGAAAACGTTTATGACTTTTTTGAAATTTTTCGAAAACATAAGTTTACCCCAATATTAGACGTGAGAAGTCCATAGCAGACATTTTTAAACTGTTTTTTATACACGGCACACCGTGTTTATCTTCACAGAATGCTCATCACAACACATGTCTCAGCCGTTAATAACTTTTATAAAGACCTTTTTTTTTTTTTTTTAATAGAAAATTATTACATTTTTTACATCAAATAAGATTATAAAAAAATCATAAATAATATTACCTATACGTTTAATTAAAGGTTCAATAAATATCCGAGATAAATCCATCATATTAATATTATTACTGGAACAAATTATACGCATTATATATTATATTATATAGTTCCTATTGGAAGTAATTCAAAACTAATAAATTAATTACTTATAATTTAAATTTTTATTTTTTTCTAAGTACCTTGGTAAATTAAAAAAAAAAATCGTTTACGTTTATTTATTACGTTTTTTTTTTCATTTCTTCTTACAACCTACCTAACTGCCGTTTAATATAGGTTATAGGTATTAGGTATAAATACTGTATTCTTATTATTAATTATATTAAGTAATAAAATATTCTATCTTTATTTGTTATATTTCAGAGTTTCTTTATGATAATAATCATCGGATTAGAAATATACATTATCCAATCGTATTACGATCAACAAAAGTTAGCCGCTGTGAGTGACTTTGTTAGTTTCAAATGGAGTTATGTACCGAAAACCGGAGTTCAATCGGTCGAAACGGCGAATTCGAGACGAATCACTAAAGTGACGTATTATAATCCGATACACGATGAATCCAACTATATTCCAATATTTGTAAAAAAAATACGTAGTATAAATGCATAAAATTTAATATTACCACTAACAATAATAAAAATTAGGTAAATAATATGTAAATTGAATAACTTTTATGTGACGTGTACCATGAAATAGTAGACATTAAATTAGTAAAAATATTATTTTCGTTCCAATCATTAGTACCTATCTGGCTATCCAAATCTCTTATTGATTTCTAATAATAATTTTATCTAATCGAATTTACGTAAAATAAAATATAGTGTTAATAAAGTTACATGCTATTTTATCTATACTTTATTAATATTGTAAATAGAAAATATTTGTTAGTATATTTGTATAATGAATAAGCCCAAAAAACACTTAACCGAGTTTAAAACTTCTTTCACCTATATAAGGTTACTTTATCAGCGAATAACATGGACTGTATTTTATTTTCAAAAAAATTAGACATCCCTACGAAAATTTCATAATAATTAGGTTATTAGGTATTTTCGGTTCGTATCTCAAATATTGCTTATTTATTTTCTGTTAATTAATGGATTACCCTGGTGACATGGATGACAATTTGGTTGTCACGGACAAGAAAACTGTTATCATTATTTTTAACACTATTATTATTTAACAACAATAGCTGTCCCGCGCTCGGCGTTGCCCGTGCTAATTTTGTATTCTAATTACCTTTATTTCCGTTTTGCTTTGTTCGTATCAGTATATATTGAACTAGAAAAAATAGGTGGAAAGTGTGTAGTCCGTGTGTATCAGAAATTTTTTTCATTCGTGTTACCATAATTACCCGCACAACACAGAGATTAAACTATATATCCACTATAACAATCCTAAAATTATGAGCACATAATAGTACTGCAGTGTTGTTACTGTAGCAAAAAATACAAAAATTCAAAGATGACGTTTCAAGTGTTTTCACTTACCCACCCAATAGAGCGCATAGTTGTTTGTTTTTTTTTTCATTCGTGTTACCAAGGTAGCCCATTTCAAGCCTATAATTGACCGGTAGACAGCCAGATAGAATCTATATTTTAAGTCTTTATAGTTGTTGTGGCATTTTTATTTCTGTTTACTATTTATTTTTTTTTTTCATTTCATCCATGTTACGATGGTAATCCATAATTCGACAAACATAATTTAATTTTCGTACCAAAAATACCTACCTAAAAACCTTTTATCTCCATCAAGTTTTATTTTCGTGACAAAGAGTAGCCTGTTTTTCTCCAAGGTCACGTCTATCACTATACCAAAATTCATCAAAATCCGTAGGTTTTTGAGTGAAAGAGTAATTAACATGCATCCATCCTCACAAACTTTCACATTTATAATAGTATAAGTAGGATAGCAAAGTATTGCCGGGCCAGCTAGTAATATTTACGTATATTTTATGCATGAGTATTTTAATTATTATTACTAGGTGCCTACTGGTGATGTCATATAAATCCAGATTTCAAAAATACGGATTTTTGACCTAAAATTCCAAAAATTATAATTTTAAATTTCGAAAATCGATTTTTTAATTTTTTTAATTTATTACTTTTATATATAGTTTTTTATAGATCCCTTCCTACGCTCATAATCTGAAATGTGAATAAAATGTACAATTTGAATTCAATAATTTATAATATGATTAGTATTTGAGTGTTGGTATGCGAAGTTTCACTGCTCTATAGGTAGGAATTTTCAAATTTCAAATAGGTGGCTAAATATAACTAAAAAATCACAATATTTTGATAATCGTACCACGTCTTAAAAATACTAAAATAAGAATATTACGTTCAAAATTATATGTATACCTATATGATGTTATATTATATTACATGATCTACATTATCTACATGATTATTTTTAATTAATTAATAACAAAAACGAAAAAACAATATCAAAAATAACGGAAATTTATTGAGGTCCTTTTCCCAGGTTTTCCTAATTATTATGAAAACTACTAGGAAAATCAAAAACTGACCGCTTCGATGAAGCAATACAATTAACTAACAGAAACCATCCTAACAAAGTTGATGATCGGAGCAATATTTCTGATAGAAAAGTTACCCACAGGCGGAAAAAATATACAGCACACATACGTCATTTTATAATATAATAAAACCAATGCGTCCATGGCTTCACTCAGAATTTAAAAATACAATAAAATAACTAATTTAAATCGTGTAAACGATAAACACGTACACTTTTTAATAAAATAATATAAACATGACAGTTTCGAAAATTGCAGATTAGATATTATAATATAATGTGGTTATTATTATTATTATTATTATGTATATTCACCTAAGTATAATATTTAACTACAATATCAGTGGTTAAAGTATGGGAACGGAGGGGTCGGAGGAGTTCTCCTTCTTATTTTAGATAAAATTATTAGTACTCCATTTAGTCTGAGGGGACTTCAAAGCTGTTATTTTCACCGAGGCATTTTCAATGAGATTTTAAGAACTCGAATTATCTATTAGTTTTGTTCGAAAGGTTTAATTCTTTACTTTATTTTTACTGAACAGGCATACCCGTAGGATAATATTTAAGGTTTGGGGGGGGGATGCAGTTAATTTTTAAATCCTATTAGTTTTTATAAACAAACGTGCGGGAGAGAAAAACATTTTAGATTTCTAAATCTCCGTGATGCGATTCCTGAATGTTCAGTTATAGTTCTCGGGAACGCCCATTAATTTTCGATAAATTCCCGGTCCCCCTTAGAAGGTGTTTTCTCTAATTAACCACTGTATAATATTTTCTATTTGCTCTGCGCGGTTGCATTAGGTAGGTACTACTAATCCGTACTGTAATGTGCGAATGTGGAACATTTTAATGTAATATATGACAATGCTATCTAATCAAAATAACATTATTATTTACTCTGCCAAACGGTATTTATTTATCAGAAAAAAAAAAACAAATTAAAATATAGATTTTACTTTGTTATTTAATCTAATAAAAAGAGTAAAGGTCATTCGATCAATAGTACAGCCGGATTATTCGCTTCCAACACAGGGCGTGTTTTTGTCATACAACTATTATTGTTATTATTATTACTCGCTACGATACGATGGTTGGTACTTATTTCTAAAATTTAATAACTATAATAATATAATCGTTCTATTACAAAGTAATAAGTGACTATATTAGACAGGGTACCTAAAAATTAGGTAGGCAAGTGAAGTCGAAGGCGAATTTGTGAATTATTTACGATACACAAAAATATGTTGTTAACTTCGTGTTTCGGTTTACCGTTGCGCACGGGAGCTGGCATTATATCGATTGTCAATTCGGTGAGTAAAATTATACTATAAATTATTTTTGTATTAATTTGTATGATCTCAACGCTGTCTATGGTTTCGTTTTAAACTATACGTACAATATACAATAACAAGTATAGGTACCTACAAGGTGATTCTTTTATAATTTTTTAAACCTAACCTAACATTTTTCAACCTTTATTTTAACACTGTTTTCAAATTTTTACCCCTACTCCTTATGTACCTTAAACAGGATTGCTACGCTTTGGATTATTATCTAAACACGGATGTTGTGAAGTTCCCGCTTCCCACAATCTAAATTGTATAAATCATAAACGGTAGATAGGTCTACTAGATAATATTTGTGTTACTAATACGCATATTTTCAGAAAAACATTCGCTATACGAACAATTGTTTAAAACGCCAAATATTGCTATTTGAAAATCATATCTAAAGCGTAGGTTAGTACTCATTTAAGGTACCTACCCGTAATGAGACAGGATTAGTAGGATTAATTTACTTACGAAATTGAATTGTTAAAATTATAAAACTATTCCGTATGTAATGGTTTAAAAATGAATACTCAAAATATATAATAGGTATACTATGTTTAAGAAAGCTAAATCGAAAACACAACATTTTCAATCGAAAAAGAAATTTAGCTACAAATGTCCTTCATATAAATAATATCAAAATAACAGTACCTAAATTAAATGTTTGTGATTATACACGTTCTAATAATATCTACATACGCTATTTTATTTCATTACTTATTCGTGTGTGTTCTAGTACTATGTTATTCGTAACATTTGCCACGATCATTTTCATTTAAACCCAGGCACCTACCTAGGTGGCTGGGTATACGATTACCGAACGACTGATTAACAAACCCGTTATAACACCCGTTTTACTATTGAGAATAAAACGACGTCGTAGGTACACGGATTATCTATAGGTACCTATATTAAATTGCTGCATTAGTACCCTGCACGGCTGCACGTAATCCATATGCATTTAATCTTAGATACCTTAATCGTAGGTACCCTATATCGGGTGTACATAAATAATATGGTTCAATTTCTGTTTTTAGATTCTATCGATCGTCTATGTATTGTACAACGTATGGGAGTATAATGTTAATTATGGATACGATAAGCGCGAATTCAACGACGTTGGATTTTATTCGTCGGAAATAGAAGGTAAAATAAATAATATTATACTTGTATTGTACGCATAGGTAGTAGATACCTAATAGGGTTCAATCCCATTTCGCCGACAACGTTTTATTCCGTTAATACTTACTGATGACGTACGTTGCTTAAAGTACACCTACTCATGACTCCATCCTACAATAGTACACGTTAAAACGACTAGTTTTCATTGTCGATTTTGCCAGGGAGGGAACACTTGTTTTCTTAAATTATCACTGTACTGAACTACAAAACTGTACTAAACTTAAATTATGAAAATAATAAGAACAATTCTTTTGAACATCCGTCTAATCGTTGATTACCTATTGTTATATTGTCAACAGTTTTTATATTTTCGATAATACTAAATTTATATATTTACTCACGTTCACGTAACGATAGCGACGCTGGAATTTCTTTAGTAATAATAATTTCGTTGCAACAATAATATTTCAATTCAAAATGGTAATATAATCGATGTGTCGGCGTCTCGGCGACGTGGGAAGGCACGCCTAATACGCCATTTCGGGGTCGGATTCGTGGTTGTGGGGACCCCAAGGCCCGTTTCAAAAAGAGCAAAGGTAAATTTAAATTTAAAATAAAAAAATGAAAACTGAAATTTTCAATTCATGAATTGCGCGTGGCTAACATAATATTATAATGGTCTGAAATATAAACTTACCTACGCACCGACTACTATCGAAGATTACCTTTATATGGGTAGGTATAGTAAATTACAAACTGTTATTCTACAACTCTGTCAAAAGTGGCGTAACTAGGACCTATCTTTGGGCGATTGATACGAATATTTGTTAAAAATATACACTGATGCATTATAATACACTATACCTATAATATATTAGACAATTTTTTTAACTCTAGATAGGTATAGTCAATAATGAACGGACAAATATTGATATCTAATGGTAGGTACCCTATATGCTTCACACTTGACATTTTCCATTTTGTATTGTAGGTATCTATTTCTATATATAATAAGTTGTACCCACTAAAAATAAAACAAAAATGGACCGGGTCCTAGACCTCTTTGGAAGGTATCACTCACATCACCCTCCATGAGAACGCCATTGATGTTTAGGTACTGTATTACCGTTTCGTTCTAATACATCATAAAATAAATGGTTTCTAATATTTATTTTAAAACTTTACAAAAAATATATCGAATAATTAGAAACTAAATAATGAACCGTACAATTTGTGAAAATAAAAATGATTCTACTATACTTGTTTCAACATTCTAGTAGTCATGTATAAATATAACCATACGTTCAATTTATAAAATAGTTATTAGAGGCATAGTCCTTAGATATATTTTACAAATATAGCTTTTTATTAGGCCTTTACGAATGTACCAGTTATTTACACATTTAGATAACCGTGATACGTACCTATAGATACCTTACCTTAGATATCTTAGCATATGATTATCATAAATATTTGTTTTAATCGTACCAAAATTAACCATAAAATAAATTATAAATACTAAAACTTAAAGACAAAAAATGTTGAGAAGAAAGAAATTTCATGGGAAGGGGGGATAAAACCCTATATCTGCGCATCCTACGCCACTGTGTACATATATGTTTCGGATAGTGGTACATTTAAAGTAAGTATAAGTAATATACCTAGACAATTCATTCAAAATTAATATTTTTTTTTTTAGACATATTTTTGAATTACATCGCATTAGTTTTTATGCTCGTCGGATTTACTTCGCTGTATGCAAATCTCAGTTTGAAACAAGCAACAATAAAAGTGCGTAAACAAATTTTTAATATAACAATTTATAAATTTAAATATAATCGAAAAGTATCTAACTTGTATAATTTTCCATTCCCATTTTTACAACTTTCAATTTTTATGTTTTCTAACAGGTATACCGTGTATTTTTAATTGCTGTTGAAAAGTTAATACAATTATTATTACTTACTCAAATTATAATATAAATATTTTGTGCGTTATATATTTTTTTTTTTTTTTTAATACTCCTAGTTGGGAAAAACTGTAGAAAAATGTAAAAATTACATTAATGGTTTCATTATTTTACTGTGATTCTGTTAAAAATAAATTTAAAAAGGGCAGTTTTCACAGGATAGTATTTATTAGTCTTTTTTAGGCGTATAATCATTACTGATTAAAGTCATTTGAAATTTTCGAGTAATTTTAGTATTTATTTGGTTTAACATGAATACAATTGTTTAACCAAACAGTAATGCTTAAAAAGTTAACATAGGGTTCATTATAGGTTGTAAAAAAAAAAAATGAGTTAATGTAGTGGTTTTTGTTATAAATGTCTTAAGTTCAAAAATGATTTATTAACATATCTTTCCAATTTGCCACCTACAACCAAAAAACCCATACACCTATCAGTAGTATTACTGTATTAGCTCTTTGTTTTTAATTTTAATTTTTTTTTTTCTTTTTAGAATGAAATACATAAGATTTATTTGTGGCTTTTGATTGAATATGTCCAATTGGGCACATTCATCACAATTGAGACTGTTATAGGATACAAATACACATTGACAGCATTACAATTAATCGGATTAGTCGTGTGCAGCATAATTATAAACGGTAATATATACGGTATATATAAGGTAGGTAGATAATTTAAATGCTTTAATTTAGGTTTTAAACGCTGTAAGTATAAAAACTAGTTATAATTAATAATACTTAAATGTAAAAAATGCAATTGTTTAGAAAATAGACCCCTAAAATATAAAAGAATAAAAAAAAAAATGCTATTATAATTTGTTTTTAGGTATCATGGGATATCAGCTTTTAGTAGTCCAATCCTTCTACGCCGAAGAGAAATTAGTCCAAGAAACTAATTACACAAAACTCTGTTCCGAATTACAATCACAAGTTCAGGATCAAGATGAAGAATTTCAAAGTGTGGCTCTTTAAACCCCATGTATTAATTTAATTTATAGTAGGTAATAAGTCTACATAAAAAATTATACCTTCCTACCTATTATTTTGTGCTGTTTTCTCTGTTAACAAATCAATTATGAATATTATTAAAAACTTACCAATATTGTATTTCATTGAATCCATTTATGATTTGCTTAGCAATTTAATAAACTTTTTTTTAGTTGGATACATAATTTAAAATTTCAAAATCCTAAAACATACGCATTAAACAACATTTATAAATACTATAAACTAATTTACAATAAATTAATCCAAAAATAAATAGTCTACTACAAATTCAATATAGTTACATTCAATAAATACCTTATTACATAAATTATGGTAATATAACAAGAATATTTGATGGCAACTATTGTTTAATAATTCAATCACAATTTAATATTTGTGATGCAGTCAACATTTTACAGTAAATTGTTTAGGATTTCAAATATTTGATATATTTAGAAAAAGAATACAAAATAATTATAAGTGAGGTTTTTTTTAATATTCTTAGCATAGTGAATTAATTCTACAAAAATGAGTGCTTTTTTTTGCTACTAAAAATCTTGATCCAGTTATTAACTTTAGAATGGTTTTTTTTAATCTAAATATTAGTTCAATTGTATTTAGAAACTTTACTTTAGTTATTCTTTATTTTTTCTCTCGACAATATTTTGAGAAACATTTAATGTTTCTTTGTAGTAATAATAAATTTTTGGCAATAGTGTATAAGAAAAACAAATTGTTTCTTTAAAATAAAATTCTATTTTTCTTCTACAATACTCCCACCAACTATTTAGTAGTTCAATTCTTCTATGCCAAAGAGAAATGAGACAAATCTCTGTTCCGAATTACAATCACAAGTACAGGAACAAGATAATGAATATCAAGGTGTGGGTCTTTAAATCCCTTGTATTAATTTAATTTATATTAGGTAATAAGTCTACATAAAAAATTGTACCTTCCTACCTATTATTTTGTGCTGTTTTCTCTGTTAACAAATCAATTATGAACATTATTAAAAACTTACCAATATCGTATTTCATTGAATAAGTTTATGATTTGTTTGGCAATCTAATAAACTTTTTTTTTAGAAATCTTTGTCTTTTGTTCATTCCTCTCAACTATTTAGGTTTGAACATCACGGTTCTTAACTTCCACTAGACCCGAACTTCACACCTCGCATACACTGGGTACTTTCATATCATTTCCAATTGCATCCAACTACCACTTTTTTTGATCTTTCTCTCCACCTATTTCCTACTGTTTGCTTTTTAATACAATTCTTACTGCTTTAAATTCTCCTTAGATTTCTCCTCATAATATGCCCCAACTTTAAAATAATAATACAATAAAAAAAACAATACAAAAATATAGTACACAGTTTTAATATTAAACAGTTAATATTCATACATGAATATGACTACCTTAAAAAAAAAAAGTTATTAAAAATTATGTAGACTGTGATTACTTATTATAGAATAAAAAATAATTATGATTAAAAATGAATAAAAAAAACCAACACAGTTTAATTTTAAGTAAACAATGAGAGGGTGTAACTTTCAAATATGAAAATGATTTGCTTATCATAAACAGTCTGTATAAACAAGAGTATAAACTTATGTTAATAAAAAAAATTATAAGTATTTACGTACCAATAGTTGTGTTCACATGTCTGTTTTATAGCTCACGACAGTGTTCATTCTATGTAATGAAGTCGAAAATGATCTTAATTGTAATTCTTGAGAATTAGCAATATAACTCGGTGCAGTTTCAGCCCATTCTTGTGGTACATCTACTTCAGGCTTAGTGTATATTTGTAGATCAAATGCACATGGGCAATCGAGCAAGGGCAGAAAACTAACTGTGGAACATATTTGTCTCAATACATCCCTGATTTCTTTTTGTATAGTTGATAAATCTTTGTTTCCAACTAATTCTGAATTAGTATCATTTGGTGATCCTTCATACTGTAGTTTGAAGTCCCAGCGCTCTAACACTTCTTTAGTGGTAACATTATATATAACCATTGCCATTTTTTGAATCTTTTGATCTAAAAGCCAGTCTAAAAGAAATGTTTTTATTTTTTAAATTATCAATTTGAAAACTACAAACAATTCAGTATGAAAAATATATAGTTTAATATAATTTAATTAAAATAATGAAAAACGTGTACATTTAGTAATATTTGTGAAATATCTAAAAATTTCATATTTAATGTGTTTCAATTAAGTAATAAGTATAAGTTAATATAATAAACAAGGAAATGCAAAATCATTTGACTTAAGTTAAAATAAATGATTATCCATAACTACAACTATAGATTACTTTTCTGAAACTCAAAAAGTGAAATAATTGAATTAATTTTTATTATTAACTGTTAATTTTTTAAATTACAATAACATCTTTACTTTAATTTTACACCCTAAAAAAAACCTAAATAGAATATATGTATTTATGGCCAAAAATGAATTAAACATGTTTTTAAAATATCCAAAAATGGTTAAATATATGCTCTTAAAAAAAAAAAAAACCAAAAAATGAAAATGAACATGTATTTATTTTAAATTTTTAATCCTTGTTTAAACTTGCTTAAACAAATTTCAAAATCAATATTGTCTTCATAGGTACTGTATGTACCTATGAAAAAAAAAATTTTTTTTTTAAGTCCTCAGAATTATTTATACATTTTTAGTGAATTTTTAATGTCTAAGTACTTAAAGTCTGGAGTTCTGAAGTCCTAGTTATGACCTATACAGTTCATTTTTTTCAATTAAATTTTATAATATTCAAATATAAATGTATTTATTTTATACATTCAAATCATTTGGATATTACCTAGTAAATAATTCTGATAAGAATTAATCTAAAAAAATATATAAAATAACCAGGGAGTGAAAAATTGTCGTTTTAATTGCATTTTATAAACAAAACTTATTAAATACCTAGTTTTTGATTAATCAAAATAATTGTTTTTTCAGATAGATAATAATTTCTCAGCTATGATTTAAAAGAAATGTACGTACATAATATATATTATAAATAATATAGGTACCTTTCATTTGATTAAGAACTGGTTGTAGGAACTGTTGAATTTTTTCATCGGTGGACACAAGAATTGATAGCCCGAAATGTTCTTCCGTTTTGAAAGATTCGGGTGGATAAATTCCTCGTTGGAAAAGAATACTGTTGATGCCAAAATCTGTAACAATTATATTTGAGTATTGTTATTGAACGGTATATTTAACAAGTACATTATATAGAGACATAGAGTATAATAATAATATAATGACATGTGTGTCCAATTAGTCTTAATAACTAAGACTAAACCGGGTGACTTACTTAAATAATCCATAACCAATTTTGCAGATCCCTTAAGTGTAATTGCATTTTGGCTCTGTTGTTTGGTAGCCATCGTTAAACAATTTTATGTGCGTTTATTATCACAAGAAAAATAATTTCACATTCGATTTTTATAAGAAAAAGTGAAATTAAATAACAAAAATGTGTAATACTTTATGATATAATGAGTTAAAACTTAAAACAAAAATAACGGAAAATCATTGGTAACCCGGATGACCGTCTATACGATTGTCAAGGAAGATTTTGTTTTTTTTTCACAATACTATAATTTGTAGGTTAAAACTGATAATATTTTTTGGCGGCAAAACGATTTGAAGAAAACGTCTCATCAGTGGTGATCAACTGGAATACCTATAGTCGAATACCTTAGTGTTTCATATCCATTTATTTTACAATTGTTCGTTGGTTTTACCTACATGTATCTAACTATGGTTCGTAAAGAATTTGTTTTCTTATATTATCTAATCACTTCTAGATAAAGATAATTCGGTATTTCGGTCAGGACTTTGAAATACTACACAAATCTGATAAATTTGTTTAAATTGATTTTCGTTCATGAATTTTTATTTAGATGAGAGAATGATCAAAATGTTTCAAAATTCAACATACAAATCACAGTTCAATTATTTCAACTAGATATTTAATACATTTTTTTTTTGTTCCATATTAATTATTTAATGAATTATAGGTAAAAGTAACATCTTTAAAATAAATAAATTTAATGAACATTAAATCAATAAGATAAGAATCAGTAAGATCAATGGAATTATTACAACACGTAAACTGAATAAGTATGGTACTTATTATATAGTATTACCATATAGCATGCACTTGTCGGGAAAATAATGTACTCAATGCCGGCCCTAGAGGGGCGGGCAAGCGGCGCGGCCGTACCGGGCCCCGCAAATTATTTATTCTGAATATTACTTTATCTATAAATAATCATAATAATATTGTCCCAACAGCAGGTACGCGAATTGCAAATTGCCCGTGCGGCCGTATGGTTTTTTAAGAACACGGGGTGTTATCGACAAAAACCAAAATGGTAGGTACCAATTATGAATAGCTCAAACACATTGTTATTGGCTTGAAAAAACTATCATATTTTATCAGCATCGAACATGGTATTGCCAATTCTTTGAGCTGCAATGAGACGATTCACCTGTTTGCATCAAAACCAGCACGAAAAAAATGGTAATATCATATATTATCAGTTGTGTTACAATAATCTATGTTCATTTTTTTTATTTAAAATAAAAATATACTTATTATATCATATTTAGTTTAAATAAATTATACAACAATAAACGATTAAACAAATGTTACATAATAATTGTATTAGTTTTACTATGACGTGAGTTTATTTTTTCTCTTTGTTAACAATTTTACGAAAAGAAATCTTACTCAGATGTTACACACCACAGAGTATAATACCTTTTCTGAAAGAAAATTTTCTCTAGTTGGTGCATTATCTTCTTTTTTTTCTTTAACAACTTGGTGGGCACCATGAAGTCCAATCGTTGCCGTCAGTTTGTGCATTATACAGGTCATTTTTTAATTTTTCAAGGGGTTTTCAAAATAATTGGGAAAATCCCGAAAAAAAATTATAAGTAAAACGACAATTTTTTACGACGCACAGCGTATCGTGGCGTCACCGATTTTATTGTTTTTAATTTTTGTAATTTATGTTTTCTACCAGAAATAATGCTCTAATCAAAAAATGACAGGATTTTGTTCCTTTTCATTGTGTAGCCACTTAAGGAGAAAGTAATTTTTTGGTATCTAAAGTGGTTTTCACAATAATTGGGAAAACCCTAAAAATATGAAAAATACTTTTTTCAAATAACGCGACAACTACCTATTTCATTATTTTAAATGCTTACGCTTTCCGTTTTTACCAAAAATATTGGTCCAATAGGAAAACAACGAAAAATCTTTTTTGTCGAATTTTTAATCTAGTTATTAACCAAGAAAGGTTAACCAAAACTTTTAATTTTGAATTTTTTTATAGTTTTTTTTAATAACAACAATTTTGATCAAAACCGAAAAATTGGGAATAATATACAGGAGAAAACCCTCCAGGCCATTTATATATCCTGATTATTTTGCGGAAATAAAACTATTTTCCGGTCACTTCGCTCGCTTCCCTCACTTTACATCGTAATATTTAAATACCTATCAAATAAAAACTACGTAAAAAAACTAACAAACATAAGATTCCTATAAATTGCTTAAAAATTGCCAAAATATTTTTTAAATTTTATCACGTCTAGAAACAACCAATATAAGTTTTCTGTCCAAATTTCAAGTCTTTATGAAAATATTTTTAACTGAGTTTTATCAAAAACAAAATTTAAAAGCATTATTTTCGTAAATTTTTCCATTTTTCTTACGTTTTATTATAGATTTTCCCAAATATTATGAAAATCACTTGGGAAATCAAAAAAAACTTTCCTACAATACCATCTTGATAATATTTACTTTCAAAAATGGTGCCACACTTATAAATCGAAGCAAGATTTTTAATCAATTCAGTCTTTGATGAACTTGCTAAAAATCCTAGGAATCAGGACATAATATTGTAATATTTATATAATTAAAAAAAAACGAACATACTTCGCACGTAGGTGCAGTCATTGTTGTGGGTGGGAAATTAGAAAGGTGGAACACTGACTGGAATTTAATGTATATCTGTGAACAACAATAAACCATTACTTACGAAAAGACGATTCTGTGCGAAGTTTAGTTGATAGTTATGTTTTGTCAATAATATATAAACCATATTATAGTAAAATAGCTAAATAGGCTTTATATATTTTCTTTAATAATATTTGTTTAATATTGTACCAATTATTCCGTTTTTCCCGAATTTTCACATTTGCTGGGAAAAATCTTAGGAAAATCGAAAAGTGACCTCTTTAAAATACCTCCACACTCCGATTTCCTTTTAGAAAAGGTACTACACGTAGAAATCCGAGCAAGTTTTCTGGTAGAAAAGTTGAGCAAAGATAAAAAAAAAAAAAATAAATAAACATCGACTTTTGTGCATTGATAACGAGATAAGGATAGGATCATACGACTAATATTAAACATTACGTCTCTTGCGTAATGATTACTGTCGTTAGCTGAGCTTCAAAACTTGTACGATTTTATATTTACCAATAGTTATTAAGTGATTTTTAATTTTCTAAGAAGTTTTTAGAACGGATCAAATTGTACTGAGGGAAATGATCATTGTAAAGAGCTATCGTGTTAAAAAAATTAATAGTTTTAAATTTAGTTTTCAATAAAAATTAGTCTACAACAAAGAACGGAGGAATTGTACGACAAAATAACGCAAAGTAGGTAGATGAAAGTGATTGAGTAAAAATAAAATAATAAAGTAAAAACAAAATTACTATTTTTTTTTCCTTTATTATTAAATACACAATCTGTACCTCGTTGGTACAACAAGAGTATTAGCTAAAATATAATAAAATAAACATGAATAACTTGATAAAAGCAGCCACCCAGTGATGACACTTATAAATTGAGGTTATAAATCAAGTTTTCTCATAGATACATCTATATTTATTGATTGGTTTTTTTTTTTTGTTTTTTTTTTTTTAGTATTATGAAATTAAGTCAGCATATCTCTGCACCAGTTGCGTTTTAATCGCCTAGGAGGATTTCCCGGAATAAACAAAATTATTAAAATGGTTAATACTCGTAAATAAATATATAAATAAAAAATATACATATTAAAATAAAACAAATAAACGAATGAATGCGTCGCCTGGGTTATTATAATAAGTGTATTGTATTATACGACCGGTTTCGAATTACATTTTACATTTTGACTGTGATATACCTGATAATGGATTAAGTAATATTGAATGAAAATAAGTTGAACCATAATAGAAATTACCTGAATAAGTACTGTTCATGTACATGTTTTTTTTGGGAGGTAACTCGTATGCACTGTTATATAAGGCGGACTATTCGTTCAAAATTTAAAATTTTATATAAAATTAATATAAATAATCGTATACATTTTATTCGCAAATTGTAGTTTTGATTCAGATTTTTGAATAAATGATAATTAATAAGTATACTAGTTATAAAATTATTTTTTACATTTAGATTTTCCATTATAACTATATAATATAATAATAAAAACTATAAATTAATATAAGCTTAAAATGACCAATAACCATTTTATTATTATCGATTAAATGTTCACTATTAGTAGTGCAGAAGAAATAACCAGATTTTATTGTTTTAATTAAAGCATTAAAAGAAGACGTATAAATACATCGAATTCTTCAATGGAGGACTTGAGCTTGGTGTACGTACAAACAAATAAAAGAAAACGTAGATACATTTAAATCAACGTATCAAACGTATCAATGACAATTTCGAAAAAGACAAAAATTTAAAAAAATGTTTATTAAATTTATCTTTCGTTCAAAAATTACATAGAATAGACAATTATAAAACATGTATATAATTTACTCGTAATAAATTAGGTTACATTAATAAGTTGACAATTACGTGCGATTATATTATACTACATTATTTTGATATAATTTTAAAATTTGAGTGAATAGTCCACTTTATATAATTTCAGCGAGTAAAGATTTTGATAACGGGTTGAAATAGCACGAAAAGGATAATGAGCGGAAAATGCACGGACGGAAAGTGCACACCATCTTTCAAAGTACCATCTACAGAATATTTGCTTTCAGAAAAGGTGTTAAAGTCAATAATCGAAGTGAACTTTCTGGTAGAAAAAATGTTTAAATAAAAAAAAAATCATCATTGTAAAACCAATATATTTCTCGTTTCGCTCAGAATCTCAAAATTAATCAAAATTTGTTAAAATTTCTTTTTAAATTTGTATATTTAATATAAAATAATTATATTGATATAGGTATGATGAGATATAAAATGTAGATATAGGGGAGGGGGTAAGCAAAGCTCCACTAGTTTTTTATGGGTATTTATATTGTATTAACCCCCCCCCGGTGAAACATTCTAAATTATGCAACTGACCGTAAAATATATTTGTCTGAGAACAATTATTGATCAATCTTTGTTTTCGACTAATTTTATTTTAGTTTGGCGTCTGCGCCCGTTGCAGCAGATCCTTAAAAACTATAATATTTGAGGTCTCAGCGCTCCAACTTTAGATGGTAATGTTTAATTATAACCGTTTCCATTTGATGAATCCAGTAGCGGAT